TGTATCATGTGTATTTGGTGTATGTGTACGTATGTGTATGTGCATGTGTATGTGTATGTGCATGGGTATGCGTGTGCGTATGTGTATGTATATGCGTGTATATGTGTATATATGCATGCATGCATGCATGCATGCATGCATGCATGCATGCATGTATGTATGTATGTATGTGTGTATGTATGTACGTATGTGTATATGCACTCCGTGGAATCCAAAGGCGCTCCATTGTGACATAACGATGCCCTCTAACATTCAATATGCAACAATGGTGCTATGTTGCATACGGTTGCTGTGGTGCACACAGGCGCCGTGGTATACACAGGCGATGTGGTGCACGCAGGCACTGTGCTGTACACTGGTGCTGTGTTGCGCACGCCTGCTGTGATGTACGCAGGAGTTGTGGTGTACACGAGCGCTGTGGTGCACGCAGGCAGTGGTGTACACTGGCGCTGTGTTGCACGCGGCTGCTGTGGTGTACATAGGCGGCGTGGTGTGCACAGGCGCTGTGGTGCACGCAAGCACTGTGGTGTACACAGGCACTGTGCAGATCGCCACACACATGCTGCTGCTACCCGTCTTCGGCCATTGCGAAGCATTCCAAGTCGCCACCAGCGCGAAACGTGACGTCATCGCCCCCCCACCCCCCTCAGGTGACGGCCGTCATCGCTCTGGAGTAAAACAAAAAAACACAAGCTCCAATGTACGAAATTCGCTTCAATGTCCCGCCTGCCAGAGCCGCCTGGTAGGGCCCGCCCGCCCGACCCGCCCGTTAAGGTCCGCCCGCTCGCCTGTGTGGAAGCCCGCCCGCTTTCATGTCCCGCCCAAACTGCCCGTCAAGGTCCGTCCGCTCAGTACGTCCGTTCGGGTCCGCCCGCCTGGCCCGCCTGTCACGGTCCGCCCGCCCGACCCGCCCGACCCTTATGATCCGCCCGTTCGGGCTTGGAACCCCGTCCGCTCGCCATCAGGGCCCGACCAACCCATTAGGGCCCGCCAACCCCACCCGCAGGTTTGGGTCTCTCCTCAAGCATCATAGTTTCCCCTTGTCCCCCTCCCCTCCGCTCTTTACATGCACCCAATGTAGATACTGCTCTCCTCTCTCCCCGATTCCTGTCCGTGCGGGGCACCTCCTCTCCCGCAATGTTGTTTGGTGCGTACGGCATTTCAACAGGTGGTACTTCACGTGGGCTTGCTTTCCTCCAGGACGTGTTCGGTGTTTCAACATGGTGTTCGCGCTGAAGCGCTGGCCTCGATTTTCTGTTGACCGACGCTTTGCTCCTGTCGTTCTGAATGGCGCTCTCGAGCTCTCGCCCCAACGCGGGCCACAATTCAGAATCTGGGGATCCGATCTTTCCCCTCCTCCGCCTTCTCCTGCTCCTGCTGCTCGTCCAACTCCTGCTCCTGCTGTTGCTGCTCATCATCGTCCCCCTCCTCATCCTTCCTCATCCTCATCCTCGTCCTTCTCCTCTTGCTCAACCTCTTGCGCATCCGCCACCTCCCCCCCCCCACTCTCAAATGTACAAAACTCCCCTTGTTCTGACTGCGCGAAGCACGATGGGGTTCTTTTGGGGGGTCCAGGTCCGATATGATTCCCACGGGCGGGTAGAGAAAAACCAGCACACTCGGAAGGGATGGGTGGAAGGGGTAGGATGTTCGACATGACGCGAGCGCACCTCCTAGCTTGCCATTTGTCCGTTCTCACTCCTCGCCAACTACACGTGGCAGTCAAGGAAGATATAATCACCCCAAGGGGGTTACGATCGAAGACGAAGACGGCGGGTATCGATGGTTTGGGAGTATACATGTTGAGTGGCACGCGAGCAGCAAAGAGCATTACAATGGTTCTTGTTGCGGGGCGTTTCGGCGGAACCTCGACACGCTCGAGCGTGAGCCGCCTAATCAAACATGATGCAGCTGGCGCCGAGGCGAGTGCGCCAGGGCGGACAGAGGTGGCGCGACAAGGATAACCCTTTCGCGAGTAATCTTCGATCGTCGAACAACTCTTCACTCTGCGTTGCTCGCGTGAGAACGCACACGCATACCCCAAACCCTGGACTCCCAGCCGTTGCGATGATGAACGTACCACCCTTGGGAGGCTGCATTTTCTTGAGGGATGAAAAAACGACCCTACCCTGGATTACAAGTGCGTGGTCTGTAAACCTCCTGGGAACCCCCAAAGCCTAGAGCCGCCAGGACGCGGCACATCACGCAGGGTTTACCCTGTCAGCCCACAGGAGTTTCAGAGCACAGCGCCTCGTAAACCAGGGTAGGGGCGTTTTTTCTGCCCTTGATTTTCGTGCCAATTCATGGACAACCACGGGATCTTGAAGTGGGCGGTCAGGGGTCGGCCGGGCGGGCCCCGACGGACGAATCGGGAGGGTCGGGCGTCGGGCGGGCGGATCCTGCCGGGCGGGTCGGGCGGGAGTGATACTGACGCGGGATGTGTGGTGGGCGAGCGCGACTCCTGAGTAATGTGTGAGGAAGTCCGGAGCGTGAATGCAATTCCTGAGGGGCGAAAGAGCGGCTCCGACCTTATCCCCACCAGCCCTCTGGACGAGGGTGGTCCAACCATCTGCTTCTTTCCTCTTAATGGCCGAAGATAATCAAAGATGGTTCAACATGGCTCCCGACATGCCTCCATGAGGCCCTGAGAGAAGCACACGACGGCTTCAAGTGCTATCGGAACCCCCTCATGACTTCCTAAAGAGGCCGGCATGCCTCCAAAACGTAAGGAACATCAATGCTGTTTGCCTTCTCGCCATTTCGCTTCCGATGCGGCGTTGAGATCTCGAGATGACCCGAAAATGGCCCGCCCCAAAAGGACATAAAAAAAGCCGCCGCGACGGCCCCAAGAGCGCCCACAAGCGCCCTAAGAGGCGATGTTGATGGCCCCCGAGGGGGGGGGGGGGGCAGCATGTGGCACCCCCTCCCCTGTTGTGATACATGTCCTCCAAGATTGCCCCAAGTGGCCCTCCAGGGTCCAGGGCTCCCAAGAGAACCCTCGAGAGAGCCCCTATAGGACCCCAAGACCCTCCAAACGAGTCCCAAGGAGACCCGAAACCCCACCAGCAGCGCCTCAAGAGGGCTCCAAGAGGATACCGAGAGCGATCTCGTCTGCGTTTTCCTCGTCATCGTACTCATCCTCGTTCTTTGGTCCGCCTGATCCTCCTCTTCCTCCCCGCTGTCCTCAAGAGGTTCCCAAGAGAGCCCCAGGAAGACCCCAAGAGAACATCAAAAGTTTCACCGGTGTTCGGCCCACTGCTTGACTATGTGCCTACCTGCGCCCCTTCTTCGGGCAACTCCCCCGGGCATGGATTCTGGATGGGCCAGGTGGGGATGTTTCTTGTTCGCGAGCGCATACGGAAGGGCCGCGCGCCGTCCAGAGCTACAGCTAACCAGCCAGAGCCTAAATTGCACCGAGGGAGAGGACAAGGATAGATGGGGATACGCCAAGCGTCAAAAGTCCCGCCAGCCTTGTGAGCGCAGGTGGTCTGACGAGATCTTCCCTCCTTCAGAACACGAACAAGTTGTTTAGGGCGGGGCGATGTGTCAGAGGATCCTTTTTCGCCCAAGATGGCTCCAACAAGGCCTCTGATGCTCCAAGATGGCCTCCAAGACGGCTCAAGATACGGCCATACCCAGGACAGAAGACATCCTGAAAGAACGTGAGGCACTCCGCCGTGCGAACTGAGGAACATTCGAGCGTGCCCTCCCCCAGGATGCACAAGAACATCAAACAAACACGATGAACAAAACACGAAGAGCATTCGGGTACCCTCCCCGAACCGACCTCGACCTTATACCTCGGTTCGAAAATACCCGAAGATGGTTCAAGATAGCTTCCCATAGAGGCCCGACGAGGGCCACAAGACGGTTCCGAGTGCTCTCGGAGCCACCTCATCCGATGCGCTTGTAAAACCTCAAGATTGCCCCAAGATGGCCTGAGAGAGTCCCAAGAGGGGCCCAAGAGGCTCCCAACACGGCCCCAAGAGCGCCCAAGATCGGCCACAGAGCGCCCCGAGTCTGAGGAACTCTATCTAAGAGGAGGAGGCCTCGAGCGAGAGCGCGACTGCTAAATGAACTGCGAGGAGGTAAGTATTAGGCGGGAGCGGTTGTTGCTGTCGCGGAGGGGGCAGGAACCTAAAATTGATCACGAAAAGATTCCCTTGAAAGTACGGTGCGAGCGACGGGGGGGTCGCACTCCAACTGAATAAACACAATCAATGTGCACCGGACATGTGGGACCAAAAAGAACGATTCTTCAGGAGTGAAGGTTCAACGGCAGTCCGCGCCGCAGAACCCCACATCAGCAACGCGCCCAGGGACAATGCAAGACCACTCAACAGCCCCCCACTCTGACTCACTCGACGATTCGACCACCACGTCCCAACGTAACGTCGCTGGCTCTGCAGCTTCGGAAGGCTCAACCAAGATCGCCGTCAGAAGACATTCAGATGTTCGGACCGCCCCAGAGGGATATCCAAATGTCAACGAAGTCCCACCCAGCAGGAGCCCAACGCGGCCCCATGACGGCCTCAAGACAAGATTGGGGCTCCTACGACGTTCCAAGACTGATCAAAATACAGCGCCAAGACCCCGAGACACCTCCAGCTATCTCAAGAAGTCCCCGAACACCTCCCAGACTGCTATGCGGCCCAAATGACTGCTAACGGGCACCCACCAGGCCCGCAAGGGGTCCACAACAACTTCTGGACGCCATCCGCTGTCCGAACACAAGCCCTGAGGTGCATTGACGGTGCCGCGCTTCCACGCCATAGACAAGCGGCACCAATAACACACATGCACTCATTGCAAACAAGCATGCGCGTGATTACCGCTCCTGAATACAAGATTAACCATGATGCGAGCTGGGCGTAAGCAAGTTCATACGCTGACGTACATGCGTACACGGTTGCGTGTTCGCACATGACACATGTATGCGGCAGTCGCTCATGACGCCTTAACCTTGCTACAACCTGATGCGATTATCGCATCTTCGCGGCCTCAGGAGCGAGCCCATCGACATCGAGCTCTGCAGCTCCAGCCAGCGTCACCTCCAAGAACCTGGCAAGGATCTGTGTCACGGGTGAGCAGCAGAGCCTTCAGGATGAATCGACCCCTTTAGCGCGAATGCACTGACGACACAGCCAACGAAGATATGCACCGCTACCGACAGAAGACCATCGACTGCAAATCAGTCAGGGCTGGCGGCGATACAAACCGACAAACACACGGTGCGCGGCAATGCCATCCTCGTAAATCGGAGCTGTCCATCCAGCCGAAGCCTGGAACGAATGTCGACGGGCACTCGCCGGGGAAAATAAATGCGCGCGTGCGTGCGCTCAACCGTCACCGAGAAAGAAGTCGCGCGGCTTCATGGACTCCCCTCCAACACTGACGCAGTGCGCGCCCGACGCGAGGAACCGCCTGAATCCCGAAGAGGAAGGCAGGCAAGAGCAGTGCGGGCAGCAGTGAGTGGCGACGAGTACCCGGCACTACAATCCACGTCAAATCAAGCAATACCATGGAGCACACTCTGCCCGCACGATGCCGAAACCCATCCGGAGCGTCACGCGGCCAGCCAACACTCGAATGGGAGAGTCAAACGCCGATGGTTCGGATGGAAACGTAGCCCTAGTGACCAGAGGGCCCGCCGGGCGCCCGAACACATACGCGAAGACGAAAACCACCCGACAGCAGAAAGAAACACGGAAACAAACACATACATGGACGACAACGATGTGCACACACAGCATGTGAGGGGAACCGTCGGCGATACGTAGGGGGCACTGGCACAGGATTGAACAGACTATAACCTGGAACCAGCGCCACGTCGCCCACGGACCGGCAACATGCCCCCGGTCGAACCCGAGCGCTCCTAGGCGCAATGGGCTGCCCAGGCCCCGATCAGCGACGAATGGGCGCCAGAGGGGTTGATGCTTCACCCCCCAGGCCAGTCCCCCCACCTGTCGTGCCCCCTGCCGCCACAGACTGCGCTCTGGAATTCCCCTGGCCGCCTCACCAGGAGCCTGGCACTGATCGGGGCGTACAAGATCGGGGAGTCATAAAACTCGGGTTCGGGAGATTCGGGTTGGCCTGACGGAGCCATCATGAAAATGACGAGACCCAATCTAAAGCTTGACGCGAACTCCCGCGGCAAACATCCAACGAAAACTGAACCCTCAAATGTAGAACGCGCTCGTCAAAAAACGTCGGCAAAACCGAATTCCAGCATACTCCAGTCTTGCGTTTCCCCGATCCTTCGGAAACGGGTCCTGGACCCTGCGGCCTTCCCCCAAGACGAGATCTTCATCCTGAGTCGTTTTCTGACAGTCCCGGGGCACGTGGAGGGCCCCGCGAGCCCGAAAAGGGCGACAAACTTCAGGACCCGTTCCCCTCAGGACCCGCTTCCCCCCCCTGGCGAGTATGTTGAGGCTGCGTCGGCGCACTCGAGTCTTCTTTCCCCGACGAGAGCAGGGCGCCCGAGAGAGGGGGGCCTCCTCCTCCTCCTCCTCCCCCCTCCTCCTCGTCCTCCTCCCTCCTCCTTCCTCCTCCTCCCCCTGCTCCTCCTCCTCCTCCTCCTCCTCCTCCTCCTCCTCCTCCTCCTCCTCCTCCCTCCTCCTCTCCTCCCTCCTCTCCTCCTCCTCCTCCTCCCTCCTCCTCCTCCTCCTCCTCCTCCTCCTCCCCCGCCCTCCTCCCCTCCTCATTCCTCCTCTTCCCCATCCCTCCTCCCTCCTCCTCCTCCTGCTCATCCTTCTCCTCCCTCCTCCTCCTCCCTCCTCCTCCCTCTTCCGTTCTTCTCCTCCTGTTCGTCCTCCTCCTCCTCCTCCCCCTCCTCCTCCTCCTCCTTTTCCTCCTCCCCATCCTCCTCCTCCTCCTCATATCCGCCGATCCGGCGTGTGAGTTTCTGAGAGCGTGGACTTGAGCTCGCTCAAGCTTCGCTCTGCAGGGGGGGGGGGAGGCCATTCCCGACGTCATTCACCCGACGCCATCCAGTGCTTGGGAGCCGGGGGAGATTCGCTCTGCAGGGGGGAGGGGGACGCCATTCCCGACCGCCGCCATTCAGTGCTCGGGAGCCGGACGGGGGGGGGGGGGGGCTTCGCTCTGCAGGGGGGGGGGAGAGGCGCCATTCCCGACGCCAAGAGGCCTCCTCCAAAGAGGGCCGAAAGAGGCAAACATTGTCCCGTTCTTTTGATTTGGAAAACTAATATTTCGAGCGTATTCGCCTCTTGAACCTTCAGTTTGCAAGACGGCCCAAGAGGGCCCCAATACGGCCAAATCAAGGCCCAAGAAGGCCCAAGACAGCCCCAAGACGGCCCAAAACAGCCCCAAGTGGGCCCAAGAGGCGCCCGAGAAGACTCCAAGACAGCCACGACGGCCCAATAGGCCCCCAGGAAGCACCCAGAGGCCCCCAAGAGGCCTCAAGAGGCTCCAACTGGCCCCCAAGAAGCCCCCAATAGGGTCCCACAAGACCCCCAAGAAACTCAAGAACTGCCTGCAAGACGCCCCCCAGGATGCCTCCAGATGCCTCCAAGACGCCCCCCAAAAAGGCAAACGACTGCCTCTAAAATCGTCCAAAACGCTTACATTTTAATAACCGTGTGGCAAAACACTTTGATATTTAATAATTGCACGTGTTCAGACGTCTTGGGGGTCCTCCAAGAGCGACCCCCAAAGATGGTGTGCAACAGCTATTTCAGCATGTCATGGTTTTAATGGTGACTCACGCGAGAGCGTCATGTTCGAAGATCCAAAAGTTTCGCAACCGATTTCCACATGTCCATCGTATGAGGATGTCTCGAACGAAGGCTGTATCTTCAGCATGCACGGTTATCAATTCTCTTGAGCATCGGGAGCGCCCCGGATCGGCAGCACTGGCTGGAGGCCACTACAATATAAAATTACCCTGTGACGTACCCAACCCATTTGTACCAATGGAAACGAGGAGTTGGCCTAAACTTGCATGGACAACCAACTTGATGTGTAAGCTACTTGGGACACGCGCCTATGGCATGATGCGCAGGAGAACCATGCAAGAACGAGGGGCGACAGCTACAGGCTCGAAGAGGACATGGGGAGTCGGGAACGCAGAGCAGGAGAAAAACGTGCGGGAAGCCGAACCATCAGCACGGAAGCAGCAGAGGAAAGGTGACTGCAGGAGGAGAACAAGGACGAAAGGGGCGTCGAATTTGAGTCTGCGGTGGGTACCCACTGTGCTGGGCCCCCCAGCAGGCCTCTAAAGTGGCGACAGTTTCACAGATCGCAGCCCCCCAGGGATGGCGAGGTATAATTTGAGTCTGCGGTGGGTACCCACTGTGCTGGGCCCCCCAGCAGGCCTCGAAAGTGGCGACAGTTTCACAGATCGCAGCCCCCCAGGGATGGCGAGGTCCCATTTGAATCTGCGGTGGGTACCCACTGCGCTGGGCCCCCCAGCAGTCCTCGAAAGTGGCGAAAGTTTCACAGATCGCAGCCCCCCAGGGGTGGCGAGGTCTAATTTGAATCTGCGTGTGGCGCCACTGTGCCGGGACCCCCAGCAGGCCTCGAAAGTGGCGACAGTTTCACAGATCGCAGCCCCCCAGGGATGGCGAGGTCCCACTTGAGTCCGCCGCGGGTGCACACTGTGCTGGGCCCCCCAGCAGGCCTCGAAAGTGGCGACAGTTTCACAGATCGCAGCCCCCCCAGGGATGGCGAGGTCACATTTGAGGCCGCCGTGAATTCCCACTGTGCTGGGCCCCCCAGCAGCCCTCGAAAGTGGCGACAGTTTCACAGATCGCAGCCCCCCAGGGATGGCGAGGTCACATTTGAATCCGCCGTGGGTACCCACTGTGCTGGGCCCCCCAGCAGGCCTCGAAAGTGTCGACAGTTTCACAGATCGCAGCCCCCCAGGGATGGCGAGGTCCAATTTGAATCCGCCGTGAGTGCCCGCTGTGCTGGGCCCCTCAGCAGCCCTCGAAAGTGGCGACAGTTTCACAGATCGCAGCCCCCCAGGGATGGCGAGGTCCATTTGAATCCGCCGTGGGTACCCACTGTGCTGGGCCCCCCAGCAGGCCTCGAAAGTGGCGACAGTTTCACAGATCGCAGCCCCCCAGGGATGGCGAGGTACCATTTGAATCCGCCGTGGGTACCCACTGTGCTGGGCCCCCCAGCAGGCCTCGAAAGTGGCGACAGTTTCACAGATCGCAGCCCCCCAGGGATGGCGAGGTCCCATTTGAGTCCGCCGTGGGTACCCACTGTGCTGGGCCCCCCAGCAGGCCTCGAAAGTGGCGACAGTTTCACAGATCGCAGCCCCCCCAGGGATGGCGAGGTCCCATTTGAGTCCGCCGTGGGCACCCACTGTGCTGGGCCCCCCAGCAGCCCTGGCGGGGTCCTTGAACACTGTGCTGGGCCCCCCAGCAGCCTCGAAAGTGGCGACAGTTTCACAGATCGCAGCCCCCCAGGGATGGCGAGGTCCCATTTGAATCCGCAGTGCTGGGCCCCCCAGCAGCCTCGAAAGTGGCGACAGTTTCACAGATCGCAGCCCCCCAGGGATGGCGAGGTCCCATTTGAATCCGCCGCGGGTGCCACTGTGCTGGGCCCCCCAGCAGCCCTCGAAAGTGGCGACAGTTTCACAGATCGCAGCCCCCCAGGGATGGCGAGGTCCCATTTAAGTCCGCCGCGGGTGCCCACTGTGCTGGGCCCCCCAGCAGGCCTCGAAAGTGGCGACAGTTTCACAGATCGCAGCCCCCCAGCTGGCACGCAGCGACGAGCGAAGGCAGGGGGGAAGAGAGGGACGGGGGGGGCGGGAAGGAAGGAAGGCGCGAGCAGTGCTCTATTCAAAACGAGAACCCAACGCAGGAGGGTTGGGAAATACACCATATGTGGGTCATACATATATATATATATATAGATATGTATACACACATCTGCATATGTATACATATATATATATATGTATATAGATATATATGAAATATGTTTCCTCCTCCTTCTCCTCCTCCTCCTCCTGCTGCTGCTGCTGCTCCTCATCCTCCTCCTCCCCTCCCCTCCTGCCTCCCCTCCTCCTCCTCTTCCTCCTCTTCATCCTCCTCCTCCTCCTCTCCCTTCCTCCCCCCCTCCCTCCCTCCTCTCCTTCCTTCCCCCCGCCTCCTCCTCCTGCTCCTCCTCCTCCTTCCTCCTCCCTCCTCCTCCTCTCATCCTCCTCCTCATCCTCCTCCTCCTCCTCCTCTTCCTCCCCCTCCTCCTCCTCTCCTCCCCTCCCTCCTCCTCCTCCTCTCCTCCTCCTCCTCCTCTCCTCGTCCCTCTCACCTGCTACCTTTTCTTTCCTCCTCCTCCTCCTGGTTTCTCCTCCTCCGCCTCCTCCTCCTTCGCCGCCTTCCTCCTCCTCATCTTCCTCTCCTCCTCCTCCTCCTCTTCCTCCTCCTCCTCCTCTCCTCCCTCCTCCTCCTCACCTGCTACCATTCTGTCCTCCTCCTCCACCTCCTCCTCCTCCTCCTCCTCCTGCTCCTCCCCCTCCTCCCTCCTCCTCCTCCTCCCCTCCTCCTCCTCCTCCTCCTTTTCCTCCTCCTCATCCTCCTCCTCCTCCTCCTCATCATCATCATCATCCGCAGCAGCAGCAGCATCATAGTCATCATCATCATCATCATCATCATCATCATCAGCATCATCATCATCAGCATCATCATCATCATCATCATCATCAGCATCATCATCAGCATCATCATCATCATCACCATCATCATTATCATCCTCTTCCTCCGCCTCCTCCTACTCATCATCATCAGCATCAGCATCAGCATCAGCATCAGCATCATCATCATCATCAGCATCATCCCCATCACCATCATCATCAGAATCAGCATCATCATCATCACCATCGTAATCATCAACATCAACATCATCATACTCATCATCAGCAGCCGCAGCAATATCATCAGCATCATCCTCATCATCATCAACAAAACCAACATCCTTATCAGCACCAAAATCATCATCATCAGCAGCATCATCAACATCATCATTATCAGCATCAAAATTAGCAGCATCACCACCATCATCAACATCATTGCCACCACCACCACCACTATCATCATCATCATCAGCATCATCAGCATCATCATCATCAGCATCATCATCATCAGCATCGTCACCATCATCATCACCATCATCAGCATCATCATCAACATCATCATCAGACTCATCATCATCATTATCATCATCATCATCAGCACCATCATCATCAATCGCATCGTCGTCATCCTCATCATCATCAGCATCATCAGCATCAGAATCATCATCATCACCATAATCAGATGTATCATCCTTATTATCATCATCAACAACACCAGCACAACCATCACCAGCATCAACAGCCGCGGCAGCATCGTCCTCATCGTCCTCATCATCATCATCATCCTCATCATCATCATCATCATCATCATCATGATCATCATCATCGACAACATCAGCGTCAGCATTACCATCATGTCACCATCATCATCTGCATCATCACCATCTCCATCGCCATCACCATCACACCCATCATCTCCAGCATCGGAATAAGCATCATCATCACCAGCATAAGCATCACCATCATCAGCAGCAACATCGGAATCAGCATCAGCATCCGCAACAACATCATCAGCATCATCATCATCATCATCATCACTGTCATCATCATCATCAACATCATCATCATCATCACCATCATCATACTCATCATTATAATCAACATAAACGTCATCATCATCATCTCCATCACCATCATTAGCATCAGCATCATCAGCAACACCATCACCATCCCCATCCCCATAACAGTCACCATCACCAGCATCGTAATCCGTATCATCATCACCATCACCATCATCATTATCATCAGCACCAGCATCAGCATCAGCATCAGCATATCATCACCATCATCATCATCACAACCATCATTCTGACAATCGGCATCATCATCCTCATCCTCATTCTCATCCTTATCATCACCATCATTATCATGAACATCAGCACCATCATCGCCATCGTCGTCATCAGATCAGCGCAGCATCAGCATCAGCGTCAGCATTGTCATCATCATCAGCAGCAGCATCATCATAATCATCATCAGCAACACCATCCTCATCATGTTCATCATCATCAGTATCATCACCATCATCATCATCGTCGCCGTCGTCGTCGTCGTCCGCATCTTCACAGTCATCAGCATCAGCATCACCAACAACATTATCACGCTCATCATCATCATCATCATCATCATCAGCATCATCATCATCATCATCACCACCAGCATCATCGTCATCCTAATTACTCATCCTCAGCATCCTCATCATCCTTATCCTCATCCTCCTCATCAGCAGCATCATTATCAGAATCATCATCATTATCATCATCATCATCATCATCATCATCATCATCATCATCATCATCATCATCATCATCATCATCAGCCTCAGTCACAGCCTCAGCCTGAGCCTCAGCCTCAGCCTGAGCCTAAGCCCCCTCCTCAGCCCCCTTCTCAGTCTCCTCCTCCTCCTCCTCCTCGCTCCTCCTCGCTCCTCCTCGTTCCTCCGAGCTCCTCCTCGCTCCTCCTCGCTCCTCCTCACTCCTCCCTCATCGCTCTTCGCTCCTCCTCACTCCTCCTCTCCTCCCTCATCGCTCTTCGCTCCTCCTTGCTCCTCCGCGCTCTTCTCCTCCTCCTCCTCCTCCTCCTCCTCCTCCTCCTCCTCCTCCTCGCTCTTCTCCTCCTCCTCCTCCGCCTACTCCTCCTCCACCCTCCCATCCGTCCTCCCTTTCCCCCCGTCCACGCCTGTATGGGGGTGAGGTCATTACCCCCCTTGTGGCTGCACCCAGTCCTGGCCGTCTCACCTGCCGGCTCTGAGGGGCAGAACCGGGCAACACCGCCGGGGGCACCGGCGCAGCACGGCGCAGGCCTCGCGAGACGCGCGCAGGCAGGGGCCTCTCCCATCCAGCCTCTCTGCCTCTCTGGAGGGGGGGAGGCGCTGACTGGGGTTCTGGCTCTCTGGAGGGGGGGGGGGCGCTGACTGGGGATCTGGCGATGCGTCACCGATAGATCCGCGATAGGCCCCCGGTCAAAAACTCCACGTCCCCGGGGCGGAGTGGGGCACCCAGGCCCCGATCGGCGATGAGTGTGCGATTGGTGGTGGATGGTCCCGCACCTGGGCCAGTCAACCCCTGCCGCCGTGTCCCTTGCTCTCCTCGGGCATCAGCATACAGTCGGGCCTAGGCCTAGGCCAGATGAACATCCCTCAAGAACACGAGACCCTCCGGCGGCCAAAAAACACAGAACATCCAAGGGTACCCTCGCCAGGATGCCCGAGAACGTCCAACAAGCACGAAGGATATTAGGGTACCCTCCCCGAACTGACCTCGATCTTATACCTCGGTCCGACTGTCTACCTTCGACGGTCCGCGCGGATTTCTTGAATCTGCGCTGGCGGTAACGGCCGGGGGCGGCCAAGCCTCAGCAGCCCCATGGGGGGCGCTGGAGGCCCGGTGGCAGCGTCGTCGAGAGGAAGCCTGCTCAAACCGCGGCCTTGCCTGCGCTGACGGCACCCACCTGGTCGGCTCGGCGAGGGCCGACTTAGCCTGGCCCGTCGGCCAGATTGGCATGGCCTGCGACCGTGACGCCGTCGAGGCAGGCGAATGCACGCCCGTGTCGCGCCATGTCCACGGCGGCCGTTGATGGCGCATGGTGGGCGCCCTCCATTGCCAGCGCGGAGGATGCCAGCCAGAAAAGACAGCCTCGATCCTCGACCCGTGGTCTGAAGCAGACCCGTATGACCCTGGCTCCAACATCCAGAGATGATCCAGAAGACGGGTAAGTGCACACATGCGTTTGTCCACGGGAGTCTCTCGTCATAGGGAGCGCGGTGAACTGAAGGCCGTCCAGGGCAGCGACGTCGTCGGCAGAGGCTCCCCTACGTTGGGCTCCCCCTGCTCCCCATAGATCCCCCTGAGCCCTAAGCACCTCGCAACTCCCCTGCCCCCTTACACCAGTCAAGCCGTGCGGCAACAAAACCTGCCATCTCTGGGGCACCAGCCGCTGCATTCAGATTTCGCCGTGTCGGCACACTGTTAAAGGCGCTAGTTTTCCGATCACCGCCCGCTCGTCTTCCATTAATATGCCTCCGTCTTCTCCGCCTCGCCCATCGCCTCTTCGTCCTCCGTCGGCCTCCTCCTCCTCGTCCACTTTGTCCCGCTGATCCTTACAACGTCCTTCTCCGATATACATAAGTGTATATTGATATGTCCTTCCACTCTATATGTATACATCTGTAAACGTAGAACCCCCACTTCAACTCTACCAACTCATCGACACGATCCTCCTCCAAATCCTACGTGAGGTCGTCAGATTCCCCCTCCTCCTCCTCCTCCTCGCGAGAATCATCAGTTCCATCCTCCTGATGCAGTTGAGCACTCTCTGCCGCCTTTCCTGCTTGAGTCATCTTTCTTCTCTCACAATGCCTCGTTCGTCCACTCCTCTCTCGTCCTCCTCCTCACTGGTTCCTTTTTGAAACGGGGTGTACAAAATTATATATAGAACGAGCTACGAATGACTTCGTGCTATGGCATACATTGAAATTGAGCTCTACCTTAATCAAATTACCCAACAACTCCGTACTGCAACGGTCTTGCACTTCCAGCATGAGGCACGGTGCATTTCCAAAGCAAACTGACATCGATGGGTCGAACAAGCTGAGCAAACGCAAATTTTCGATGAAACCATGCGCCTCGGGCTCCAGATACGATCACATCTTGAACCAAGGACGCGGCGTTCACTGTGTACCATACATGTGTAGCCGAAAGAAACGTGATTTCACAGTTGGTGTTCCCAGCCTCCGAAACCAGAAACATCGAAACAACAAGTTTCAATGCTCTTGGAACTCCCAAAGATGCGTTTGGCTTCTACCCCCGACGTTCGTTATTCCTTTGAAGACCCACCAACAAGCAATCGAAGTGTATGTTATGAGGCCGCCACCAAATCGAATATGAGTATACGGCCGCCACAAGACAAGTCAATATGTAATTCGCCAAGGAAGAAATTAATGTGAAACCCGAAAAAGACACGACGTAGGTTTGCAGTACACCGCAACGGGGGGATTAATACGTGATTCCCTGCGTGAGAAGGACGCAATATGCGATCCACCATGAGAGTAGCATATATGCAATGGCATCACGAAGATCAGTGAGGCGAAAGACCCAACCCTTAGCAACTTCATGTAACATCGGTAAAGAACCTCTCTGCGCACGATCTGTGTGAAGGGTGTGTCGAAATGGGAGGGTCGACGGCATCCAAGCTCTCCAGTTGAGGACGCAGGCGGAGCGCTCTGAGAGCCACCAAACAAAATGAAGTGCCTGCGTGTGCCGACAAGGGCGGGGGAACGCATGCACAAGTCAATGTGGGGCCGTAGATGGAACTAGAACCATCGCGCGCGCTTCGCGCGCGCTCAAATTCTAGCTATGCTTGATAGACTTCAACCGACGGCCCCCGGCAATGTTCGCATCCGATCCACCCGAGTCGGCACACCCCTGACACGGGTCTTGGCCCACAAGAAGATCCACCTACGGCCCCAGAGAGAAGGTTCGCATGGCATCTTGGATGCCTCTCTCGCTGGCGCATTAGAACCAAGTTATGAGCCTCTTGGGGGCCTCTTGGAGGCCTCCTGGGTGCGTCTTGGGGTGCTTTGGGGGGCCTCTTGGGGCCTCTGGGGGTCCTATCGGCGCCTGCTGGGGGCTCTTGGGACCGAAAGCTCGGAAATCGAAAGTGGCTGCTTCTGGGACCCCTCTCGGGCGCTTGTTGGGCTTATCTTGGGCCGTCTTGGGGGCCGATTGGGCCGTCCTGCGTTCCTCGTAGGCCGTCTTGGAGATTTCTTGGGGGCCTCCTAGGCCGTTTTGGGGGGCCTCTTGGGCAGTCTTGGACGCGGTGACAGCCCAAGAGGCGAGCATGCGAAAAATATACGTTTTCCCATAGGAATGGAAGGATTTTTGTTTCTTGGGGCTCTCTTGGATGCCTCTTGGAGCATCTTGGGGTGATTTGGGGGGCCTGCTTGGCGCTTCTTGGGGGCTTCTCGGCGCCTCCTGGAGCCACTTGGGGTCGAAAGCTTGGAATTCGAGAGTGGCTTTCCTCCTCTGGGGCCCTCTCGGGTCCGTCTTGGGGACTCTCGTGGGCCGTCTTGGGCCCTTCGTGGGCCGTCCTGGAGCTTTCTGCGGCTGTGTTGGGGCCGCGTCCTGGGCCGTATTGGGGCGGTCTTGGGAGCTTCTGAGGTCGTCAAGCACGGACCGACAGCGAAAACAAGCAATATGTTAAAAACACACGTTTTACAAAAGGAATGGGGCTACTTTGGCCCCTTGCACTCTTTGGGGCCCTATTGGGGGTCGCTTGGGGTGTCTTGGGGGCTTCTGAAGCCGCCTTGGAGGCCATGTTGGGCGTCTGGGAGCGACCTTCGGGCGTCCCGGGTCTGTTCTGGAGCCTCTTGGGGCCTCCTTGGCGCCTTCTGGCGGCCTTCTGTGAGGCCACGGGGCTCCCCGAGGGCCCCGGAGCCCACATTTGCGGTAGCGGCGCTGGCCCCGGGCGCCCGGACCCGGTGCGCCGTTATATGTATACTCCCTACAAAAGAGCACGGAACGTGTGAGGGGCGTGCTGGAATGGGCCCACATACGCCGTGCAAGCTTGCCTGCACAGGCACGAAACATGCGACTGCGGGGCCGGCATGGGCCTTCGTCCGCCATGAAGCCTGTCCCATTGGAGCCATAAGTGAAGTCCTCCAGAGGGCACGAGACGAGTAAGGGTGTGCCGAAATGTGTGGGGAGACGCATATTTACGTTCCCACCAGGGCTCTTTTTTTTCCGCTCCACACTCAATCCGACACAGCTCTAGCACCCGCGAAGGCCGACCGGACACTTTCCCACAAGTGCCTAGATAGTAGACTGGGCCCGTGCGAAGGTCCAAAACTCGATCAAACACTTACTATACAAGTACTCAGTCGGTATTTGCACACAGCTTGCGCTGGAAAACGCCGCTGTTTCATAACCCAGGGTAAGAGGGAGGAGGAGGATGAGAAGGAGCTCCTTAAAAAGAGCACGAAGCGTGTGACGGTAGTGCAAGAATGGGGCCGCGTACGCCGTGCGGCCTTCCCCCACGGAACCGCAGGTGGGGCACAAAATGTGTGAGGCGTGTGCTGGATTTGTGCCGCCCACACCATGTAAAGCTTCCAACTGGGGCCAGAAGTGGAGCTCCCCAGGGGGCACGAGACGTGTGAGGGATGTGCCGACATTGGCTCGCGTACGCCGTGCAGCCTTTCCCGTCGAGCCCTGGGTTGGGCTTCCTAGAAGGGGCACGAAACGTGTGATGAGCGTGCCGACATGGGCACGCAGAAAGCAGAGGAACGAGGAGGGGAGGAAAAGAAGGAGACGCGCGGCACTGCGGATTCAAAACGGTGGCCCACCTCCAGGAGAGGTCGGAATCACAGCATTAGGTTGACCACCTCAACAAGAGAATTGACGTATGTTGCCCGACCCGTAAGACTTTAACATGTACGTAAGCTTCGCTTGAAACTAACATGCAATACCCCACATGAACTCAGCATGCATGCTTGTATTCAGGAACGAGTAATCTACTCAAAAACGAATGCCACAACAATGAACCAATTCTTAGCAGCTGCAAAACTAACTCTCTGAATGAACAAATCGATAAACCTTGATGCACAGAAGAAGACGATGAGATGGAGGAGGAAGAGGAGACGTTCCCATGTCCCAGATGCTCTGGAACTTCAGGTAGGCGGGAGGAGAAAAGAAGAGAACACAATGATAGACATATACATGTGTTATACAAGGGGCAGGAGAAATAATGCAAAGAACAGCAAAAGAAATATTGAGGAAGGATGAACGGAAAGAAAAAAGGCGGGGAGATATGGAACATAGGCGACACGCAAATCAGGCACATGGTGGCCACAGCGCGGTGCACAGTCGCTCCGCAAGAACATCTCAATGTGTGCAGTGGCGTAGTGCGCAATCTACACGGCGCTGCGGACTATGGGCGGCATCCGTATGGAGCCCTGCCCACAGTTTACACATGTTAGTTCCACATCGCGCAGTTGCAGCATGCAAAGTAACAGCGAAAGTAACAGTTGGCAACGGCAACTCGCAGCTCAAAGTGCACATCGACGAATGGTTGCAACACAGCGCACACTCGTTCGCACGACAGTGGGAGCACTGCGTGTCCTGCATCGCAGACGACCAATGGTAACCAGCCAACAATTCTCAACAACAGTAGCAGTGCTTTGTGGTAGTACAACGGTACTGCGGTAGCAGAAGAGCCGTCGGGGCAGTGGCATAACAAAGCAGCTCTCTTGATACTGCGAGAACAGTACATGCAAGCGCAGACGCAAAGGGTGTGGAAGAAGGACTGGTGGGGGAGCAGCAGCACTCACGCAACCAAAGAACAGTCTGGGCACAACAGCAATGCGTTCCACGGTGCGCACTGACAACCGGTGGCAACGCAATGCAGTAATATTGATGTCGGACCGGCACGGCGCACAGCGCGCGGTTGGTATTATCGCACTGCGCATTGGCAAGAATCGTTGAATCTGTCATAGTGGTGCTTGCGGTGGCAGTCGCAGTGGACTGCAGCAGCTCCTTGCATAGTTCGGTGCAGGCACAATGCAGCAGGACTGCTATGGTGGTGGTAGAAGTAAGACGTACTAATCGAATGGCCTTCGCCAAATCCCGCCACCGTGCCTTGGCTGTGGGGATCAAGCTTGTTGGATGTTCGTTGGGATATCGTGGGAGGCCTCTCAGGGCGTAGTGGAGGCAGTAAGGAGGCATCTTGGGGGCCGGTGTGGCCTCTTGGGGCCTTTTTGGGGGCCTCTTGGGGGCCTCTTGGGGCCTCCTGAGGGCATTTCAAGGGCCTCTTGGGGCCTCCTGGGCGCCTGTTGGGGCCGCCTGGGGGCCTCTTGGGGCGGAAGGCTCGGATTTTCGGTTCGTGTTCCCTCTCGTGGGCCCCCTTTGGGGCCGTCTTGGTGCCCTCTTGGGCCGTCTTGGGCGCCGTCTCTCGGGCCGTTCTGGGGCGCTCTCAGGCCGTCTCGGGGACCTCTTGGAAGCCTGTTAGGCCATTTCGGGGTGGTCTTGGTAGCTTCTTAGGCCGTCTAGGAGCGTCGGAAAGCCGAAAAGGCGCGAAGGCCAACATCTGTCCTTCTTTTTATATAAAGGGGCCTTCGGAAAATCAATGATTGTTGCCTCTCGGGGCTCTCGTGGCAGCTATTGGAGGCCTCTTGGGGCGCCTTGGCGGCCTCCCAGGGGTCATCTTGGACGTCTTGGAACGATCATTGGGCGTCTCGGGGTCATCTTGGACCGTCGTGAGGGCCTCTTGGGGCCCACTTGGCCTGGCCGGAGGCCCTCCTGGGCCCGAAAAAGTCACGCGACAAGATGCGAGCAATCCCAGGGGGCATGCGCCAAGCCCCATGGGATGTTCGGAAATTCGGGTCTGGGCCCCCCAAACACTTCTCAGGACTGAGGGCTGAGGGGATTAGGGAAAGGACCTGAGGACACGCCCACTCCGTGCCCAGAGGCACGGTGGCGGACATTTGAATCCAGCAGTGGTGCAATCGTGCTAGTGGCACAGCTGCCCTAAAACAGTCATACAATAGTAGAAGGGCAGCAGTCGCAGCGCGATGCTAGCAGCAGCGCTGGTTGTATCATCCATCTAGAATACCACGCATTACATCTCAAGGCACAGCGCACAAAACAAAATGTGTCATACTCGTCGCAGCAGTACGTAGTCGTCATCGTGGTTCAAGACGCAGCGAATAGTAGTCGTCGTGGCAGTACGCACGGGGCCCAGTCCACAGCGCGCTTCCATCTGTTTGGGCGTATTGTTGCACTCATTGCACTGGCCCGTGCTGCATGCTATCAGTCATTGAACTTGCTTCGGCGTCTTTGCTCACTGCAGAGAACCCGTCGGTCGGAAGAAGTGGGTAGAAACATGAAGTAGGAAGGCGTCGGAAGTAGATTGGGCTTCCACACACACACACCCTAAAAAGGAGGGAAGAGGGAACACCACTCGCCACTTGAAGCAGGAAGGCGGCTAAAACAGATAGAGACTTGGGCCTCAAAAAATACATACTTTCAACGACCGGTGTGGATTCAGAAACGCTCTGAACTGATGGTAGTCTGTCAACTCAGCTTGCTGTGACCTCACTCGCGATGCACCGCACCAGCGGGGGGGCGAGGGGCAACGGTCGGGGGGGGACGGACTCGAGGGAGGGAACCTCGAGCTGGAATCGGCGCCACATCGACAATATGCCAGCGGTGCAATCATCCCGTATCATCAGAACGCCCGATAAGGATACGAGGGCCTTGGACGGCCATGTCGACACTTTGCAAGCGGGGCTCGGCCAGTGAAAGCGGCCAAGGATGGGCCGAAGGGGAAGGATGACAGGTTAACCTTTGAAATCGCTCATCCTTACCATGCGGGTTGACTGTAGGACCCCGACAGCGAATCCATACGCTCTGGGGCGGGGTGGGGCGATCGGGCCCCTATCGGCGATGCCTGGTCGACTCGGGGACACCGAAGATGTCCCTTTGCGTTCGGACCTTCACTCGGCTCTCCCGCTGCCGTTCGGGACGTTTCGGGCAGCCTGAGAACGCTCTCGGCGAGGCGCAGGTGCTGGAGAGCACCCCGGGGCCAGAAAACCGCCGAGAACCGACGAAAGCGCCCGAAAGCCTCAGACTTCGATGCCCCCCCCCCCCTCAGCGAGTCCCCGCCCCGACGCTGCCCCCCGAGGGGGCCCCTCCTCCTGGTGGCCTCGGCTTCGGCGGCGCTGGTGGCCGTATGCCGCACCCGTGCGCCGGCAGGTCCAGCAGCGACGGGTTCTCGACTCCAGGGGGGGGGGGGGGCGAGGGGCGCCAGGGCGGCCCGGCGGCACGTTGAGGGAAGCGGGGCGCGATGAGGACGGCCAGCGGCGGGCCTACGGCAGGTTCGCGTCGTGTCGACCCCGGCGTTGGTTTCTGACACCGCGGGGATCTCTCAACCTTGAACGGTCGGCCGTTTCTGAAACGTCCAAATCGTTCTACATCGAACGATTCTAGGTCACATGCGGCGTTCAAAGTTGCACGCCGCTGGCGGGGTCGCCGCCGGTCGACACGACACGAGCCTGCCGCAAGTGGGTGGAAGGCAGGGTGGGGTGGTACGCGCCAGGGCATGCTGGTACTGCGCGTCCTCCGTGGAGGCGCGCGTCCGACCCGAACATGTGCAGAAGACAATCAAGACAGACAGCAAGGACGCACGATAAGCGATGAGGATGCGAGCCCCGTGTGCGCCTGTGGCGAAGCTTTTATAGTAGCCGAGGTGGCCATCGAAAGTGGTTTAAGGATGGACCGAGGAGGCAAGGATGCAAGAATAGTTACCCTTGGGCAAATTCCCCATCCTTAACGTCCGTTTCGACTGTGCACATCTTGCAGTACATCATTTCCCGAGCGGTGTGGTCAGAAAACGCCCGCCACGGAGCTTATACTATTAGACTCCTCTCCTCGGCGCGCGCGTCATCCCTTGGGGGGCGACGCACACATAATTAGCAATAGGGTGTTGGGGTGACGCCAGCAGGAGGGCGGGCCTCCTAGAAGGGTCGGAATGCCTGTGGCCTTCTGAAAAGCTTCCAAAGCCTTCTCCGAGGCCCCGCCGCCTTCTGAGAAGGCCTGCCCCCTATCGCGTGTCGGGGATCTACTGACCCGGGTCAATACAAACCCGGGTCAGTCAGGCTCTGCAGGATCGTGCAGGACACTGCAGGATCCAGCCGGATCCTGCACGCAAGCCAGGGTCAGTGTAGCCCTGGCCCTGCAGAATCCTGTAAGCTTCAACACTCTGGCTGACACCCGTTCGTTGGCATGGACCCCCCTCCCTTATTAAGCCCCGAGCTTCCCCCCTTGGCACGCCGCCGGGCTCTCAAGCCAGAAGCTGCGGGTCTCGTAGCACGTGCCTTCAAAACGCCATCGAATCGCTACCAGCCTACCATCGCACTCGTTCCACCATCGCCGCCGAGTCGCCGTATCATCGTGGCCGTACCATCACCATTATTTGGCGGCGCGCGTAGGGGGGCAGGGGGAGGGGGGAAGGCTTCTCAGAAGGAGGCTACTTCTTAGAAGGCGTCGGCCCTACACCTGTAGAAACGGCCCGCGCCTTCTAAGAAGCAGCGTTGCTGCTTAGACGCCTTCACCCTTCCCCCTGCAGTCAACCCGCATAGTAAGGCTGAGCGACTTTCCAAGGCTCCCCTTGCACCCTTTCCCTTCGGCCCATCTTTGGCCACATTCACTGGCCGCGCCCCACTCGAGAAGTGCCGACATGGCCTTCCAAAGCCCTCGCATCCATACCGCGCGTCCTTCTCGTACGGGTTGACTGCAGACCCCTCTGCGCGCGGCTGAGTTGTGGCCGACTTCTGGGAAGGCCTGCCTCCGCTCACCTCCACCAGGGGCGCACCGCCGAGGACGGGGCGGCACAGGAGTCAACTCCTGGAATCTCTTCTCGCGGGGACGGCTCTTGAGACGGAGCCAGGACGAGGACAAGTCTGGGTGGGGATACGTCGAGGATATCTGAGGTCTGGCGGCCCTGGAAGATGTCTCGGGCGCCGCGGCCTTCTGAGAGCCGTCTGGAATTATCTAAGAGAGCGTTCCCCCGAACTAGTCGTGGGGCAGGGCTAGGACGAGGATGCAGTATCCTAGTCCTGGCCCCGCCCGACGACTGTGGCAGGGGCCTGAAGTATACACCAGGTCGCCTGGTCGGCCAGGGAGCTCGGCTTCGTCTGGTCGATCAGGTCGTCTGGTCGGCTACAGACGCCCTGGCTCCCAAGCCCGTGGGGCGCTGAGGCATCCATGCAGCGAATTCTTTTGAACAACATGGCTCCTTGGCCGACCAAACCACGTGGCGCATACACCGAGGACCTGCGAGAGCCAGGGTCGTCAGGCCCGACCACAGGGGCAATTGAGCCAGATTCGCCAAAACTACGATCAACCCGTTTAATCAGAATGTGGGGGCCGAACGGTCATTCATTGTCCCTGGGTGCGTGGCTGAAAAGAGAATCCGTGGTGAAGATTATGCTTGTTGCGTTGTTGCTGTGGTTGCTGTTGTTGTTGGTGGTGGTGTTGGTGTTGTTGTTGGTGTCGTTGTTGTTGTTGTTATTGCTGTTGTTGTTGATGTCGAGTGTTCATGACTAAACAGTTAGTATTGTTGGACACCTTAAAGGCGCTCTGTCGCTCTCGCCGAGGCGCCAGCTACATGTTCATTGAAAATGAGGCTCACGCTCGAGCGGTTTGGGGGACCGCCAAAACCGGCCCCCCAACAACAACAACGCTCCCGCTCGAGACTGCCTCCTTTTTTACTCAGGGCCGGTGCTCTTGCTCGCCGCCGAAAGCCACCGTCCCAACACAACCAGCGCTCCCGCTCCAGACTTCCTCCCGTTGTACTTTGGATTGGCGCGCTAGCCTTTTCTCTCATCGGCGCCGCCCCAAGCAAAAACAATGCTCCCGCTCGAGGCTTCCTCCCTTTTTTACTCAAGGCGGTGCTCCTCCTCGCCGCCGAAAACCGCCGCCCTGACAAAACCAACGCTCCCGCCCGAGACCTCCTTCCGTTTTACGCTGGACTGGCGCCCAACTCCCTTTTGAATCGGCGCCGCTCCCACCAAGAACAACGCTCCCGCTCGAGACTTTTCCTCCTTTTTTCCTGGAGACGGTGCTGCTCCTCGCCGCCGACAACCCCCGTCCCGACAAAACCACGGCTCCCGCTCGATGCATCCCCCCTTCTTACTCAAGGCGGTGTTCCTCCTCGCCGCCGAAACCGCCGCCCCGACAAAACCAGCGCTCCCGCCCGAGACTTCCTTCCGTGTTACGCTGGACTGGCGCCCTACTCTCTTTTGAATCGGCGCCGCTCCCACCAAGAACAACGCTTCCGCTCAAGATTTCCTCTCTTTTCCTCGGGACGCTGCTGTTCCTCGCCGCCGACAGCCCCCGTCCCGACAAAACCACGGCTCCCGCTCGATGCGTCCTCCGTTCTTACTCAAGGCGGTGTTCCTCCTCGCCGCCGAAAGCCGCCGTCCCAACAAAACCAGCGTTCCCGCTCGAGACTTCGTTTTGTTCTACGCTGGACTAGCGCCCTACTCTCTTCAGCATTGGCGCCGCTCCCAACAATAAGAGCAGCCCTGCTCGAGACTTCCTCCCTTACTATTCAGGGTCAGGTCCTTGCCTCACCGCCGACGGCCCCCATCACCACCAAGGCAATTCTGTCGTGCGATACTTCCTTGTGCTTTACCCTTCGCTGGGGTTCCTCTGGCGGTCTCGCATCGGCGCAGCAAGGTGCGGGCATGTGTTTTCGAGGCGGGATATGTTGAAATTCCTCGGAGGAGGTGTTTGCAAGACCTCATTGGGCGGGAAATCTGGGAATGGGAATAACGGACTCCGTTACAGAACAAGAGCCCCCCCATTACGTGGATAGTTATCATGATGGTCGCATGTTTCGTGTGCAAGCATCGCGCATGAGGGTAAATTGAGTGGTGGTATTGTTGTTATGGTTATGGTTATGGTTATGGCTGTTGTTATTGGTATTGTTGTTGTTGTTGTTGCTGTTGTTGCTGTTGTTGTTGTTGTTGGTGTTGGTGTTGTTGTTGTTGTCGTTGTTGTTGTTGTTGTTGTTGGTGGTGGTGTTGTTGTTGTTTTTTGCTGTCGTCGTCCCACCCGCGACACACCCGCGACCCTCCCGCGACCCACCCCGCGACCCACCCCGCGACCCACCCCACGACCTACCCCGCGACCCACCCGCGACCAAATCCGCGACGCACCCCGCGACCCGCCCGCGACCCGCCCGCGACCCAACCGCGACCCACCCCGCGACCCAACAGCGACCCAGCCGCGACCCGACCACGACCCATTTGCGACCCACCCACGACCTACCCACATTGGTTTAACGAATAAATCGGCGCCTGCGGCGGGCTCGTTGTATAATGTGTGAGACGTTGGCGCCTGCGGCGGGCTTCTCCAGAGTCTCGCAGACTGCCGACGTCCCCACCGCCCCCTCACTCTTATCCGCATATGCGGGGTGCTATGGTAAGGACGCACGAGAAGGACGCAAAGGCCTTGGAAGGCCATGCCGATACTTTGCGAGCGGGTCACGGCCAGCTAAAGCGGCCAAGGATGAGCCGAAGGGGAAGGAAGCAAGGGTAACCTTGGAAATTGTTCATCCTGACTATGGGTTGACTGTAAGCCTAGGATTAAGCTGGATCTAACGAGATTGAACGGGACTGAGCGGAAATGACCGAGACTTGGCCAGACGAGACCAGCTTCGACCACGGACATACCAATGCCGAGGCTGAATGTAACATCCAAGGAGGGTGCGGGGGAAACGAAGGGGGGAGGGGGAAGGGGTAAAGCGGAGGCAAAATCAGGACGAAGTCGAGACGAATCGGGGATCTCTGCGATCCTGCGGTTATGGAGGGTGCATCGGGCGCCACAGCCGTTCTGGAGCGCTCTGGGACGCTTCGAGAACGTTCCTGAACGCTCTGGAGCTATTTATTCTGATCCTAGGCGTGCCTGAGACAGGGCTAGCGGCGCGCACAGTGGGGTGGCGCGATGGGGGAGGGCTTCTACGAAGGGAGGAGAACTCCTAAGAAGTCAGGGGCCTTCGGGCCCTTCAACTTCTAAGAAGCCTTCTTGGAAGCCTCTGGGCCCCTCTAAGAGGTCACCCACCTTCCCAGAAGCCCCCCTGCTTTCTTAGAAAGTTTCCCCCCTCGAGCCACCCGACTATGTGCGCCGCCGAGAAGGGGGGGAGGCGGAGCGGAGGCAGCGAGGAGGGGGGCAGGCTGAGGTGGGAGGGGGGGGGTTGTGCTCTCAACCTGGCCTCGCAGGCCAGTGCCCCGGACGCGCGGTATGCGCCGGTCGCATCGGGCTCTGCTGGCTCCCCCTGCTGCCCAAAGCCGCGGCGCAGGGAAGATAGAAAAAGTGAAGCTGGAAACCCAATCAATGCGTGGGCGGCCATGGTCAGGAAAAACCGGCTGGAGCCGCAAAGGACCCGAAGTGCATGAGACACTACGGCCAGGGCTGGAGCCGCTGGAGGGAAGACTGGCCACGGCCACAAAAACTGACTGCTTGGCCCCAATCGCCCTTTCCAGCTTACCTGCAAGACTTGAACGTGAAAAAACCGTGAGGGCGTGTGAGAGAGAGAGAGAAAGAGAAATCGAGCATTGAAGTTGAAACAGTAGTCACCATTGTTGCGATCACCCGCGCAGAGCCTGGCGAAGAAAACCTCGCCAAGGCCTTCTACAAGAGAGTGGAGCTGATAAGTAAGAAGTAGAAAAAAAAACACTCAGCTCAAGAAAACACAAAAAAAAACGCCCTGCATACTGCTAAGCGCACACCCTTCCGTGAGCAACGGTTCCGAAAGCTGAGCTGGAGAGCTCAGGACCAAGCGGGATTGTAGAATCGACACGAGAAGGCAAGCCGATCAGCCCCCACCAGCCGCCCAAAGCATGAGCCATCGCCACATGGACACACACACACGCTTTTCGGCGCCGCGGCCCTGCTCTCGGAGACAGGGCGTGGAAGGTCGGAAACAGCGAATCGCGCGTGCCTAAGCCCGCCCGAGCACTCGGAGACCGCTTACGGCCTCGCAATCGCTGAGGATGGTGGGGGGCGGCATGGATGGCGGGGGGGGGCAAAGCGTGGACGAGGCTACGGTGAGGTGGTGGGTGCCATGAGCCAACCGGGACTGGAAGGCGGGAAGAGCGAGCAAGCAGAGTGGACCGACAAGGGGAACCAAGGAACGACCTGGCAGCAGCGGCGAGCGGCGGACACACACACACACACACTCACACACACTCACACGCACTCACTCACGCACACTCTCTGAAAAACACTTGTTGGCGTCGGGGCCGAGCGCACAGCAACGCGGCGGTGTCAGGTCAGCGGGAGCGGCCAACGGGACGCGGCGGGAGGGCCGGCTCTCGGCGGACCAGCGGGAATTGCACAGGGGCTCACCCACAGGGGAACCGCACTGCAGAAGACTTCCGCGGGGAGCAGCCGCGTGAGGAGGACGAAGAGGGGGGCCGGCGAAGGACGCGGGGGGGAACGGAAGGCAGGATGTAGCCAGCGGTGCCCGAGCGCACGGGATCTCCTGGGGTCAGAGCCGAAAGGGGGGATGAGTGGGGGCGACCAGAGGCGAGGAGCAGTCACACACACACGCACACACATCTTGAAAGACATCCACGTCTCATCGTCAGTGCCTTAGCACTTGGTGGAGTGCCCAGAGAGGCACACGGTTTACAATTTCTCTGCAGCCTGGACCATGAAGTTCAAGTAATATCCGTGCGCTGCCTGGGTGTCTCGCGTGGGCCTCCGGGACGGTCGCCTCGACCAAGACGGCCCCCAAAGCAGGCCACGAGGACCCCGCGAGAGGACGCCCCCGAGACGGTCCAAGAGGGCCGCGAGTCGCCCGAAGATCGCTCCAACATGCCCAACATGGCCTCAAGATGGCCGAAGAGACCCCGAGATACCCCAAGAGAGCCCCAAGAGCCCTCCCAAAAAACCCAAATCATTCATTGGGTTTCGGAAAACATGTTGGCGTTCTCGCCTTTTCAGTCTCCCGAATCTCCAAGACAACCCGAGAGACCCCGAATATTGCCCCAAGACGGCCCAAGGGGCCTCAAAGAGAAGACGGCTCGAGATGGCCCCAAGACAGCCTGGCATGCGCCCAAGGCGGCCCAAGAAGGGCCCGAGAGAGGGAGCACGAACTGACATTTTGAGCCCTCCGCCCCAAGAGAATCCCCGAGACCGCCAGCAGGCCCCCCAGGAGCCCCAGGCCCCGAAGAGGCCCCAAGAGACCCAAAAAGTAGCCCTACGAAGCCCACCAGAGGTCCAAAAGAAGCTCCTATAGGCGTCTGAGAGGCCTCACGAGATCTCCACAGGCATCCGAGAGGCCACTGACCCACAATCCAGACACGGTGGCGGGATGGGCCGAAGGCCACTAGCACTCTCCGATGCCCACCCAGCAAACTTTCCCGCTGGCATTGCTATCCTCGTACGTCACAGACATGTCTCTCCAACGCAAAATTGCACTCCGCCTTTCTCGATGGATTGCAGCTCTGGCCTGCATGCGAGTACCACTTGATGTTGGGGCCCGGGTACAATATTGGCTCATCTGCCCCGCCGCAAGCACGCGAGCACAAGAGAAACGGGAAGGCGTTGCAATCAACATTGTGGCGGCGGCGCAACACGCGCAGAGAAACGCCCAGAGGCGTGACGCGCATACCATTACTACTATCATGTGACGATCTGCGAACATTTACGCGACTGTGTAAGCATGTAATACTGAGAAAAAACAACAACATATGCACCACGTCAATAAGCACAGCATCGTTTCCACGCATATGCACATATGCTGCATAATGTAAAGGAAGACGTGTGAGTATGCATGTGTATGCGTGTACATATGGATGAATGTACGCATATATGTTCATGTTGTTCCCATCGTACTTAAGGACCACGTCCCAGAAATAATTTCGAGCACCCGGAAACGTATCGAAAGAGTGTCGAAAGAATGTCGAAACAGTGTTGGGCAAGTGTCCCCCAGGGCCAGACACGTGAAAACCCTCGAGTTTCGGTATTTGTTGCTGGCGCTCGAAATTATTTCTGATGATCAAGCCTAGAGTAGGTTGGAACATCATAGATGTATGCATGTATGCGTGCAGTCATGTCTGTCTGTCTGTCTGCCTGGCTGTCTGTATGTCTGTCTGCCTGCCTGTCTGCCTGCCTGCCTGCCTGCCTGCCTGCATGCATGTCTCGTTATGTATGTATGTATGTACGTTGGTATGTATGCGTGTGTGCATATGTATGCATATGTAGATGACCATGTGTATATGTATATACGTGTATGCATGTATATATGCAGGCATGCGGGTATGTATGTATGTATGTATGTATGTTTGTATGTACGTATGTATGTTTGTGTGTATGTCTGTATATATGTATGTGTGTATGTGTATGTATGTATGTATGTACGTATGTATGTATGTGTATGTGTGTATGTATGCATGCACGCATTTGTGTATGCATGTATGTGCGTGCGTATGCATGCATGTATGTATGCATGCATGACTGCATGTCTACATGTACGTGTGTCTGTGTGTAGGCATGTATGGATGTTCGTCTGTATGTATGTGTATATGCATGTGTGTATGCGTGAATGCATGCATGAATTATGGATGATCATACATATACAAATGTACATGTATGTACGTATGTTTGCGTGCGCGTGTGTATGAATGTATGCTTGTATGTATGTGTGTGTATGTATGGATGCACGTACGTCTGTATGTTTGTATGTAGGTATCGATCGGCAAACTGCATTTGGCGAGGGGTTCGCTGCAACCCCGCCAGCTGGGACGGCTGCACCGCTGGCAGGGGCGCGGGGCACCAGGGTGCCCATCGCGGGAAGGGGGCGCCGCCGCGGCCATGTCCGCCACGTTGGGAACGATGGGCCCCGCCGGGGCGGGAAGCCGAAGGCGGGCGGCCGCGGCCGTGGCAGCCGCAAGCAGCGCGGCAGGCATCGGCAGGTGGCGGAAGCGGTAGTAACGCACCCCGCCCGCAGCGCCACCAGTGAGGGGCAACGACAGGGGGTACTGGCATAGGGGGGGATGCATCGACCTGGAATCGGCGATACATCGCCGATAGATCGGAGATAGGCCTCCGATAGTGAATCCGCACCTTCCTGGGCAGGTTGGGGCTATCGTGCCCCTTATCGGAGATCAATGGGAGATTGGGGGTCGATGCATCCCCCCCTATGCCGATCCCCCCCGATCGTTGCCTCCGAAGCGCCACCAGGCACGACGTCCCAGCGCAGCACGTCGGCCGTGCCGACGAACAGCTCCTCGTAATCGTCGTCGTCGTCTGGGGACACGATGCTGGCGGCGCCCCACGACGCGATCTTGGATATGGGGGTGGCCACCAACTTTGTACTGCACGCCGATGAAATCGCGGCGACTTCAGGCCGAATTTCATGTTGGAGAGCAACGCGATGGCTCGGCGATGGCTGTTCACGAAGGCAGGAAATTGCGAAATCAGTCGTCATACTGCCTTGCTGGTGAAATCGAAAGCGTTGCCAAATTGGCCATGCCAGAAAGCTGGCGAGAGCTAGGAAAACTAACAACAAAATGTTTTACGTATACGCAATCGAAAATTGCATCCGAACTGCCGCGTGCAGTTGCGAAAGAATACGTAAGCCAATCTACTGTTCAGTTCTCCCTAAAACGGTGGCCCGCATTAGCAGGAAAATGATCGCCAGGCTGCACCCCCGCGGCCGCCACAGAGGCATCAGGTGGTGGAGCTGCAGCCATCACTGCTGCAAAGCCTGGGCCCCTGGGCCCTAGCGCGGCGCGGTACGATGCCCAACAACAAATGTTGTCCAAACCGACAGCGGCCTTGTCGTGCAGGCGGCCTTCTGCCTTGAATCGACAATGTCCGCGGCGGCGCGGACAACGAGTCCTGTTCAAAACGAACAAGAACTGTTGTTGGACTTTGTGCCAATGCTTTCCGTATCCATCGGTCGGAAGAAGTAGGTAGAACCATGAAGTAGGAAGGCGTTGAAAGTAGATTGGGCGTCCGCCCGCCACCCTGGGAGGAGGGAAAAGGTGAAACCACTCGGTCCTTGAAGCAGGAAGTCGCTTAAAGTAGATTGGAAACTAGGAATCCAAAAATACCTACTTTCAACGACCGAGGGAGAAGGGGGAGGCCTTCTTGGAAGGAGGCTGCTCCTTAGAAGGCGCCGGCCCCACGTCTACAGAGAAGGCCCGCGCCTCCTAAGGGGCTTCTTCCCCCCTCCTCCCACACCCCCCTCTGCGCGTGGCCGGCCTTCCGTACCCAGCCCGACCGTGCCGGGCCTCGGGCTGCGAGGTCGCCCGCCAGCTGCCGAGCCGGTCACCGGGGCGAACCGCCCGGCCGCCGCGGCGCCCACGAAGCCGCGGGCCAGGCCCGGAGGCGCCGCGGGCGAGGGCCACCGCGCAGGGCCCGGGCCCCTGCGAGGTCGGGCCGTGCACAGTCGCAAGCGACGGTGCGCAGGTGGACCAACAGCCTTTTTTTGTGTCGGCGGCTATAGGCAGGTATCACTGCGCTGGCGAGGAAGCGAAAACGGGGCTGCCGTTGAGCGAGTTGTGCCACCATGCAAAGAGGGGGGGGAGGAGACAGCGAAGCGGCGGCCGAGGAAGAGGAGGAAGCGGACCGGGGCGCAGGTGGACCAAAAGACAAACGACCCCACCCCACCTACGGCCCCACGGGGCTTAGCGCATACCAGGCAATCAATATGGCGTGAGCTCCTGCGTGCTATCATCTGCGGCCCCCGATGGGTGGGGTGGTGTCGTTTGTTTTCCGGTCGAACAGGAGCAAGTCTGGCAGCACTGCGCCTGCCCCTGTCTCGCCGCCCACACAGCCACGCCAGTGCCGAGCCCACGGCAAGCCTCGGGGATCCGCGCGCCGGCGGCGGCATATGGAGGGCGGCGATCGTCCACACGGAGGGCAGGTCGCTCGAAACTTGAGGAAAGACGGCAGCGGGTACCAACAAGTTCGGTTCCTTCGCCGTGGGACGCAACCCTTGCTTACAAAAAGGACGTATGTACACATATCGTCGTCACGCTTGCGACGCAAACATACAGGTCTAAGGCAAATGGCAAGCGCCGTGTGAACTGAATGAGGCAGCAGGGCTGCATACACCGCTGCCTCCTCAGCAACGCCCCTTGTAAGATCCCTCTCATAACGTGGCGATCGTGATTGCCCATGCGTGCCAGAGCTTCAAGGCGAATTGTTGATAGCGGTTTACTCTATCTCTCTGTCTGCTGAGGGTGTGGAGGGGGAGCAGACGCTGAAATCGTCTTCCTCCTCTGGCAGTGCTGGAATCCCGGCCAGGCGGTATCCCTCCTCAAAGGTGTACCCCAGACTGAATCGACGCAGGAAGCGACTCAGGTGTATCGCCTCCCGAACAGGGATCGTGAGGGGGGCCCTCCGGCGCCACGGATGCACCAGGCCCGGCCGCGCCGCCACCAGCAAGGCACGCACGGAGGCAAGGAAGCGAGCACGGGCACGACGCGTTGCCGCAGCTGTGCCAATGCTCCTATTGCCCCGGGGCGTACTTTTGTTTTTCTGTCGCGCGCCCATGGTTCTTGAGCCAAACGGGTACGGACCCTCATCCGTCCCGCGGCTTGCCAGCCGAACGACTGGCAAATGCAGCTCCTAGGCTCAGCTGCGTGGCCGCTGGCCCTCCCAGACGCGTTACCGCAGCCGGGGAGGGCCAACTAATGACTATGTTGTTCCGGCCGCGTGGCCGATGGACGTTTGGAGGGCCAGGTTTGGCCCAGGAGTTTCGGCCACGCTCGCAGGACACGGTTTGTGCCCGCGGAGACAATAAATCGCACCTGGAGTAAGCTTAACAAACGTGACGCATAGGAGCTAGCCTACTCGTGCTTCTACCACAAAGTTAAATCTTACAAATGCAACTCGCGAAGCGAGATTGAATATATACTATAAGTTGTGGAAAACAGAATGACAAATTGCCCCCAGAATGCTCTCGGCAAGTTCGCGCTGCAGTGAGCCGGCGTGCCGGCAACTTGTCGCACCAGCCTTTACACTGCTCGCACCAGCCCGCTGCTCGCACCGGCATCTTCTCTTCTCGCACGGGCATCGGTTCTTCTCGCACGGGCATCTCTTTGGCAGCCACGGGAGCGCTCACAGATAGCCACAGGCATGGCGTCTGAGGAAAATCAAAAGTATACCCCCGAAATGGCGACACGCCGGCGTCCACCCGGCTAGCGTGGACATTAGAAGTATACAAATAATCATTAATTACATGTTACATACGTGGCGAAGGCGGACACTCGGGAAAAAATACAAGGATGTGTGGCAGTTTTTCCACCCCCCCCTCGCCGAGCAGCGTGTGAGAACATTCAGAATGTCTGGCGACAAGGCCTCAAGGCCTGGTGCGGATCATGCCCATGAGGTCGCGGGCCTCCATGAACCTTGCCGGGGACATGGCCTTCGTGAAGCCGTCGCCCCGGTGCGTCGCGGTGGGCGCGTGCTTGAGGATCATCGCGCCGCGCTCCACCACAAGCTCGTGCAAGAACCCGATGGACACCTTGTGGGTTCTCTCTAAGAACTTCAGCTTCTTGCTGTAGCCCTTAGTGACCGCAGAGATGGCCTGCGTGTTGTCCACGAGCACCACCAGCGGGATGTCGATGCCAAGCATCCGCTCGAGGAGCATCTGCGTGGGAATGCCCTCGTGCTTGGTGTTGTGGCTGAGAGCCACCGTCTCCGCTTCGGCTGTCGAGCCGGCCGTGGACGCATGCTTGCAAACAGCCCTTGAAAGCGGCCAGCGTCGACCGGAAGTCGGGCTGTGAAGTTCCACCAGGACGCCGCCTGCAGACTTCGTGTGCTCTGAGTCGCCAGCCCAGTCGGCGTCCGGCCACATCAGGAGCTCCAGGTCGAAGATGTCGTCGGGGGCCATCTCGGCGGCGAGGGCCATGGGGCCAGCGGCCTTCAGGTAGGCGTACAAGCGAACCAGTGCTGCGTCGTGGGTTGTGCTCCACCTTGACACCACCGAACAGAGGCGCTGCGCGGCGACGGCGATGTGTGGCCGTGCGACCCGGGACAAAAACAGCAACGTCGCAACGTGCGAGGCGCAGCTGCCTGCGAAAACGCCGGGGCGCACGCCGTCTTCAGCCCACTGCTCCGGCGAGAGAAACGGCGACGTCACCTTGCGGAGCTAACCCCCGTACTCGCTAGCGAACCTGGCGAGGGCGTTGGCCACATAGTCGCCCATGTCCGTGTGGAGCCGGCGAGCGGCCGACGGGCAGGCAGGGTTGACCGGGTCCATGGTGTAGCGGGCCCCCAAGTACCTCTCGATCTCCTGCTCCCGCTCCTTGAACACGATCGCCGTGTCGAGCGCCCTCCAAAATGGCCCGGCGATGCTCGGCGGAGCGATCATGAGCATGTCGTCCACGTACACGACGAAAATGCCTCCATCAGGGTGCACATGAACTCCAGGATGGTCGAGGCCAGCGGGCTCCCAGCCACGCTGCTTGAGAATGCTGTTCGACTTGGCTTCCCACAGCGCCCCGGCCTCGGGGTGGCCATACAGAGCCTTCTTGAGCCGGCAATGAGGCCGGACATACTTAGGTCTCTGGCGTGCTGCGCCGTCCAAGAACCAACTGTCTGGCCACCACTCCAGTGGGAGCTCGACGTAGGTGGGGATCCGGAACGGAGTGTCGATCAGAGCCTGGAAGTACGCAGCCTCCGCGCCCCTCAGGCTGACCTCCCGGCCGGCGAGGGCCGCGGCCGCCAGGGCAGCGCGTGCCGCGGCGAAGGATGCCGGAGCATTGGCAACTTCTTCGAACAGGTCTGCAGACGACATGCCCGACTTACTTCGGATGTTGGATCCTTGAAATACCACTCTAGCCTTCCATTGCTGGGCATCTTTTCCAAGCTCTTCTCCTTTTATCCCCAGAATTGCAAACACCCGGCCCAGCATAGCGTCAGAAAGGGACTCGTCGTTCAGAAGGTCCCGCAAACTGTGAACATCGGTGGTGTCCCAGACCTGCTTGGAGCGCATCCCGTGCAGCTACTTCTCCAACGCCTTGCGGGCACCGTCGCAATCTGCCTAGGACGATTTGGGTTTGATCACCCGTGTCACGAGGGCGCACCACAGAGGGTGGCGCGGCGAGCCATCATCATGCTCACGATGCTCGTGGCGCGGGTCGTCGTCACTGTCGTCGATGGCGGATGTGTTTTTGAAGAATGCCCGGGACCGCGGGACGCCAGGAGCAGCAGGTAAAATGCCTGCACGGCGAGCGCTCCAGAAGAGACGTGCGAACTGCTCCGTGTACTGGGCGGTCTGCTTCGCAATCTTCCCGCGACAGCGGACGAACTCCTTGCTGTCGGCAGCTTCGTCGACGGAATAATTCTCGAAAATCATCGTAACGGAGTCGTCCGTGGAGCACAGCGTCCACTCCTTCAGGGTGTACACCACGCGGCCTGCATGCTGATGCTGCTGGCCGACGGCGGAGGCCGATACCTTCACGAACTTGCCGCCGACGGTGTTGATCAGCTGGTGCACGCGGTCGTTCGACCACAGGTCGGAGTTTGTAGGCCACTCCCAGGTGACGTCCTGGCCCTTGTCACGAGCGTAAGCGCACACCTTCGCGACATTGGTGATCAAGGCCCGCGTCACCGCCATGGGGACGGCTGTCCAGATCATGGTCCTCAGCTTCTTACGGGCCGCCCTCTTCAAAATGTCTTGAACAGCTCGGAGGGTCTTCTCGGCGGTAAGGTCAAGCTGCTCGGTCACGCGGATGGCGATGCACCTGGCCGGGACGAAGGCGGACAGGTAAGACTCCGGAGAGCAGCACAGCTCGACGAGCATCTGGTTGTACTTGCCGCTCATGATGGCTGGCATCGCTGCGGCGATGATCTCAGGCACCGTGGGCGCCTGTATGACGAGGCCGGCCGGCGCTGCCGGAGCTGCAGGTCCTGCGGCGCGGCCGGAAGCCACGCGGGCATCGCTGGAAAAAGCACGGGCGTGCTGCCCGCCAGCTGCGGCCGAGCCTCGGTGCCAAGGATGCCGAGGCGGCTCGTCGTACACCTCGTGCGGGGTGCCCGAGAAGGCAGAAGCACGGACGACTGCTGCTCTGCCCTGGAAGCCGCGGCCTCCAGTTCGCCCGCGGCGGCCAGGCGCGAGGAAGCCGTGGAGACCACTGCGCTGAGCTCCACGCGCTGCGCCTCGAGGTTCCGGAGCGCCTGCGCATGGATCGCATCGCACTCCTCGCGGCGCCTCTGGTCAGCAGCGGCGTATGCAGCAGACTCCGCGGCCAGGGTGCCGGCAAGCTGCTGGCGGTCCGTCGCCGCCATCTGCTGCTCTGCCGCACGGAGCTCGCGCAAGCTCACCGCAAGTCTCTCGTGGCACTCGTGTTGGGCCGCGGCTGTCGCCTCGTCCAACCGGCGCTGCATGAGCCCGCGCTCGGACCGGAGGTCTGCGTGTGCCTGGGCGCTGAGAGCCTCCGTGCGTTCCAGAAGAGCCACCTCCAGACGCTCAGTCAACGCTGTTTCTTTCGCCTGGAACTCAGACTCGAGGATCGCCGTCTGGGTCTCGAGCGCCGCATGCTGGTCAATGATGCGGCTCAGCTCGCCGGTGAGGTCGAGCCCTACAGCGCTGGGATCCTCATCATCCGCGCCAGCGTACAGCAGCGTGCGGCTGCGGTCCGCCCGCGACGCATCAGCGACGGGCGCAGCGGCCGAAGGCGTAGGCGCGGCCTGCGACGAGGCACCGCGACCGGATCTGCCTTCCACACCGCGGCCGCGGAAGGGCAAGACAGGCCGATGCGCCGGCCGCGGGCGAGGCGGCGGCATGCCGGCCGCAGCCTCCGCGAAAACCGCGGGGAGCACCAGGCCGAGGTCCTCGTCCGCAGCATCGGCGAGCGGGATCATCTCGCCAAGGTTGTTGGGATTTCCAGTCGCCATGGTCTCAAAGAGCTTTCGGCTGATAACCTGTTGATAGCGGTTTAGTCTATCTCTCTGTCTGCTGAGGGTGTGGAGAGGGAGCGGACGCTGAGTTCGTCCTCCTCCTCTGGCAGTGCTGGAATCCCGGCCAGGCGGTATCCCTCCTCAAGGGTGTACCCCAGGCTGAGTCGACGCAGGAAACGAGTCAGGTGTATCGCCTCCCGAACAGGGATCGTGAGGGGGGCCCTCCGGCGCCACGGATGCACCAGGCCCGGCCGCGCCGCCACCAGCAAGGCACGCACGGAGGCAAGGAAGCGAGCACGGGCACGACGCGTTGCCGCAGCTGTGCCAATGCTCCTATTGCCCCGGGGCGTACTTTTTTTTTTCTGGCGCGCGCCCATGGTTCTTGAGCCAAACGGGTACGGACCCTCATCCGTCCCGCGGCTTGCCAGCCGAACGACTGGCAAATGCAGCTCCTAGGCTCAGCTGCGTGGCTGCTGGCCCTCCCAGACGCGTTACCGCAGCCGGGGAGGGCCAACTAATGACTATGTTGTCCCGGCCGCGTGGCCGATGGACGTTTGGAGGGCCAGGTTTGGCCCAGGAGTTTCGGCCACGCTCGCAGGACACGGTTTGTGCCCGCGGAGACAATAAATCGCACCCGGAGTAAGCTTAACAGACGTGATTCACAGGAGCTAACCTACTCGTGCTTCTACCACAAAGTTAAATCTTACAAGTGCAACTCGCGAAGCGAGCTTGAATATATACTATAAGTTGTGGAGAACAGAATGACAAATTGCCCCCAGAATGCTCTCGGCAAGTCCGCGCTGCAGTGAGCCGGCGTGCCGGCAACTTGTCGCACCAGCCTTTACACTGCTCGCACCAGCTCGCTGCTCGCACCGGCAACTTCTCTTCTCGCACGGGCATCGCTTCTTCTCGCACGGGCATCTCTTTGGCAGCCACGGAAGCGCTCACAGATAGCCACAGGCATGGCGTCTGAGGAAAATGAACAGTATACCCCCGAAGTGGCGACACGCCGGCGTCCACCCGGCTAGCGTGGACATTAGAAGTATACAAATAATCATTAATTACATGTTACATACGTGGCGAAGGCGGATACTCGGGAAAAAATACAAGGACGTGTGGCAGTTTTTCCACAGCGAATCCAGCCGTGGCGACAAGGGCCTCCCACGAGGCCCCAAAAGGCGAAAATAATGGAACGATGGCGGTACCCATCGGTCGGAAGAAGTAGGTCGAAACATGAAGTAGGAAGGCGTCAAAAATATATTAAGTTCCGTCCGCAACCTTGGGAGGAGGGAGAAGGTGAAGCCACTCGATCCTTGAAGTAGGAAGGCACTTAAAGTGGATTGAAATCTGGGAGCCCCAAAATACCTACTTTCAACGACCGCTGGGAATCGGTTCCTCCCTCCTCCTCCAACATCTGGGCCAAAACTGGCCGCTGGACGACCGGCGACGGTGCACACATCGACCCCCTTCGCTGCAGCCCCGCCCCCGCGGGCCTGCGAGCATCGCCGGCCGGCGGAGCCCCGCGCGCGGCCGCTGGAGACCGCCGCGTCCCCGTCTTTGCGGGGCGGCTGGGGGCCAGAGCAGCCACGAGGAGGAGGGGGCGAGGGGGAACAGGTGGGGACGGGCCCAAGGGGAAGGGGGAGGGTGGGGCACTGAGCTGGAATCGGCGATGTAGCCAAGAGGTCGGCGACAGGGCCCCCGATAGCGAAGCCGCACGCTCGTGGGCGGGTGCACGGTCGGGCCACATCGACAGTCCATGGGCCACTGGGGGTCGAGGCATCCCCTGAGCCTATCCCCCTGAGCCTATCCCCCCCGATTGGGGGCCCCCCGGAGCCTATTCTTAAGTCGGGCGTGTCCCCCTACAGGGGGATTTCGGGCGAAACATAAAACATACTCAAAAATTATCCCGGCAAAGCAACCTAAGAGCGATGTGTAGAAGCATATCTGAAAGCATTCCCCTTAAGATTCAGATGGAAATCCAGTTGTCGAATTCTGTTCTCGCAGTCGTAGTCGCATTCGCGATGACAGTAGCAGCGGCAACGGCAGTCGCAGTCACAGCCTCAGCCTCAGCCTGCCTCCTCCTCCTCCTCCTCCTCCTCTTTCTCCTGCTCCTGCTCCTCCTCCTCCTCCTCCTCCTCCTCCTCCTCCTCCTCTTCCTCCTGCTCGTCCTCGTTCTCGTCCTCCTCGTCTTGCTCGTCCTCCTCCTCCTGGTGCTCTCTCCTCCTCCTCCTCCTCCTCCTCCTCCTCCTCCTCCTCCTCCTGGTGGTCCTCGTTCTCCTCCTCCTGGTGCTCTCCCCCCCCTCCTCCTCCTCGTCCTCCTCCTCCTCCTCCTCCTCGTCCTCCTCCTCCTCTTCCTCCTCCTCCTCCTCCTCCTCCTGGTAGTCCTCCCCCTCCCCTCCTCCTCCTCCTCCTCCTCCTCCTCTTCCTGGTCGTCCTCGTTCTCGTCCTCCTCGTCTTGCTCGTCCTCCTCCTCCTGGTGTTCTCTCCTCCTCCTCCTCCTCCTCCTCCTCCTCCTCCTCCTCCTCCTGGTGGTCCTCGTTCTCCTCCTCCTGGTACTCTCCCCCCCCCTCCTCCTCCTCCTCCTCGTCCTCGTCCTCCTCCTCCTCCTCCTCCTCTTCCTCCTCCTCCTCCTCCTCCTCCTCCTCCTCCTCCTCCTCCTGGTACTCCTCCCCCTCCCCTCCTCCTCCTCCTCCTCCTCCTCTCCCTGGTCGTCCTCCTCCTCCTGGTCGTCCTCCTCCTCCTGCTCGTCCTCCTCCTCCTCCTGCTCGTCCTTCTTCTCCTGCTCCTCCTGCTCCTCGTCCTGCTCCTGCTCGTCCTCGTCCTCCTGGTCTTGCTCGTCCTCCTCCTCGTCGTGCTCTTGCCCCTGCTGAAAATGTGGCCCAGGAATGGGAGTTCTGGGAAGTCGAAGAGCACGAAGTTGCCTACAGTTGGCTACGGGCATTCAAAATGTGGCCCGGGAATGGAGTTCTGGGAACTCGAAGAGCACGAAGTGGCCTACAGTTGGCTCCGGGCATTCAAAATGTGGCCCGGGAATGGAGTTCTGGGAACTCGAAGAGCACGAAGTGGCCTACAGTTGGCTCCGGGCATCCAAAATGTGGCCCGGGAATGGAGTTCTGGGAACTCGAAGAGCACGAAGTGTGTGACTGTTGCATCCGGTTATTCTAAATGTGGCCCGGGAATGGCGTTCTGGGATCTCGAAGAGCACGAAGTGTGTGACTGTTGCATCCGGTTATTCTAAATGTGGCCCGGGAATGGCGTTCTGGGATCTCGAAGAGCACGAAGTGTGTGACCTGGGAATGGAATTCTGGGAAGTCGAAGAGCACGAAGTGTGTGACTGTTGGTGAAAAACGAGCCCGGCACCCTGCCGCCCGGCAACTCCCCAACACCTGCCCGGACCCCCCTGTGGAGTGATCTGTGAGCTCTTTTGAGTCAACTAGAAACCTATCAGTCTTCGCTGTTAGGTAAATACCCCCCAAATGCTCAAAGTAGTCAAAAATCGTCCCCAGACTATTTCTTGACTATTTTTGAATATTCCCCCTGTAGAGGGACACGCCCTACTTAAGCCTATTCCACCCGAGCGTTTCCACCGAGGAGGGGCGGACGGACGGACACGCACGCACGCGCCAGGGCGCGGCCCCTGCGGGAGCGAAGGGGTGGAGCCACAGCGCCCAGAATTCGAGAAGGAACTGGGGAAGAATGCCAGGACAGGGCTGAACCTAAACGGTGTTTTTCGTTTTCGTGTTGTTTTCGTTTTCCCTCGCTTTTGTCGCGAATCCGCCTTTGCCGCAAAACAAAGTCGAAACGAAAACGGCCCACGAAATCACCAAAAGCACCGTTTAGGTCCAGCCCTGTGCCAGAAGTGCCCAGAAGAGGGACCGAGACGAGGAGGAAGGAGGAGCAACCGGGAGAGGAAGACCTGGTGGTTTCCTGTCTCTGCAGGAGCGAAGGGGCGGCGCAGTAGCGCTGACCTTGCGAGAAGGAACTGGGGAAAATGCTGGCAGAACCCAGGGGAGAGACCGAGACAAGAGAGGAGGAGGAGCAACAGGGGAAGGAACACCTGATCGAAGATCAAACACGGGTCTCACGCGAGATGGCATGGCGACCTTACGCGGTGGCTTCCGCGGGCGTCCGCGCGGGCGCAGCCTTACGCGAGCAACTTGTGCGCCAATGTCGGCGCAAACGAACCCGTTTTTTTGCGTCGCTCACCTGGTGGTTTCCTCGGGCCTGTGGATGTCTCCGGAGGACGCTCCGGAGGTCCCCCAAGAGGCCCCCCCCCCCAAAGAAAAGACAAGGCCTGGAGGCCTCGTGGAGCAGGGCCGGGCGAAGGGGGGGAGCCAGATCCCAGCACTCCACACGCTTCAAGAAACGGCGTGCTGACGATGCGCAAGAATATGCAGCACTTGGCAGCGGCCTCCATGAAACTGCAGGCGATCGGCCTGGGGCGTCGCCGACCGTCCAGGACGCCTCCAGTGGCACAACGGCGCCGATGCTGGCCAGGTCCATCCTGGGTCCAGGCTCGGTGCATCCGCCTTCCTGCCCAGGCCGGGAGGGCATCAGTAGTTGCGCACCAACGTTGGTGTAACGCTGGCGACCCCCGAACCTTTGCCTCGGGTGTGGACAGCACCCCCTTCAGTACCGCACTTTCGAGGTCGAGGAACCAGAACTACCTGGGACCAAGACCCAAGCGGGTGCAGGCCCGAAAACAAACTGCGGCCACGACACCGCCCCAGAACGGCCCGAGAGCCTGCCAAGAGGCGGCTCACCAATCGACTCTGTGCGGTGGGCCCTCGGCCGAAGCTTAAACAGATGACTAAAGACGGCCTCAACACGGCCCAAGAGGTCTCCAAAACGCCCCAGGAGGGCCCAAAGAGGTCCCCCAGGAGGGCGTCGAGAGGCAACAACGTGCTTCACGCATGTTCTGAGTATCCTCTTATCCAGCGTAAGGGCGTCCAAGACGGCCCAAGAGGCCCCCAAGATCACCCCAAGGCAGCCGACAGCGTCCCCAAGAGAACCCCCAAGCCGGCCCCAAGACGAGCCCAGAGGGCTCAACAGGTCCTCCCTGGCCCAGGCAGCCCCAAGACAGCGGCCCGAGGGGTCCCCCCCCCAGACAGCCCCAAGGCGGCCCAGAGAGGCCTCCAGCGCGATATCCGAAGGCGCCAGGCGGCCCGAGACCGCCCCCAGACGGCCCCAGAGAGCCCAAACATTCCCCAAGATGGACCCAGGAGGCCCTGGTGATACCCCGAAGGCTTGAAACTAATAGCCCTAATGTAGCTCCCAGGCGGCGCCAGAGGGCACCTCCCTGGTGTTCCCCAGTGGCGTCCCAAAACAGCTGTGGGAGCACGCAGTCCACAAGCATGGCCGCACTCTCGCTCGACGTTTCGCGACACAGGCGTGTGCATAAGGCAGGGGGGCGACGGTGGTTTGCCGAAGGCGTCTGCGAAACCATCCTGGTCATCGCCGCCATCAACCTCAACGTCGTCGTCGTATTTGCCATCACATTCAACATCGCCATGGTGTGCAACGTGTGATTCCTCAGGGTGTGCGGACAACCCTGCTCCCGTCCCTGCAGTCACCATGCTACCACATGGACCGTCCAAAAAAGACGAAGCCGCATGTTGGCCCTCAAAGCGTCTTGATGCACGAGGAGCGCTAGAGGAACAGCCATGGAAGAACCTCGAGAACAGCGAGACCTGTTCCGAGCTCGAACTGCTCATCATCTCAGCGCCTTGACTGTAGTAGTAGTGTGCCTCCTCCTCGGGATGGGGGAAGCAAGCCGCACGCCCCCCCTCGGAAAACTAGCCTCAGAAACGATCATCTGCTATCAAAAAAGTGTAGGCCTACAGACACGGACCGTGTATGCCCCCTCGCGCAGCACACGGAGCCGATACCAAGACGCAATTGTTGTCAACGCGTCTCTGCCCGCACTCCTCGCAAGCGCTGTCAACCCGCCGCTGGCCACGCTCCTCCCCAGTTTGCACATTTTGGCCAGCTCCTGCCGACAGTGCGCGTCGAGTAAGCCAGGCCTCACCACGCGGTGCTGACCGCGGCTGCCAGCACAGCGACACCTGGCGCCGACCCGATCCAATGGAGCACCCTCGAAATACGCAAGTAGCGGTGACAGAACCACAGCCGAGCCGAGCTTCATCGCAACGGGACTGCGGCCAGGAATGGCTCAGCGCTAGGAATGGCTCAGCGCTGGAATAGGATGACCAACACACTGCATTACCATACACTGTCGTAGCTCCCCGCGGCGCTCTCGGATCGGTGCTGGCCCCCCCACCCTGGCGCGCGGAGCGCGTCAGGGGCGGAGCTGGAGGCGCCGCCAGGGGGTGCAAGAGCCAATTCATGAAATCCGCAGGGAGATCCGAAAAATTGTGTATACCATTTGCCATGTTTCAAACTCATTTGCGTCGTCGGGTCTGTGCGGATTCAAGCAGCGCATCTCCCGTGCCAAGGGCGTGCGGTCAACGACATTGAAGAGGCCCTGGGACACACAAATAAATACACACACAAATAACAATATTCCCCGTACGTTTCCATATGTTCTGGGTTTTTGTCCTCCCACCCAATTCCCATAGTTTCCCATATGTTCTCTGGAATCGACGGTTAACTGTGTCTGTGTGTTGTTTCCCCTCCTGAGACATGGAATACGCACCAACTCCTGAAGCCCGGACACTGCCGCGACGGCACTGCGACGCAGAGATGGCGTGCACACGGTGAGCTGGAAACCTACTGCTCCTCATCGAGGGGCAGCTCAGGGGAGGGGGGACATCGACCTGGAATCGGCAAGGCATCGCCGATAGATCGGAAATGTGCCCCCCGACAGTTAATCCGCACGCTCCAGGGCGGATCGGGTTATCGGGCCCGCATCGGCGAAGAATGGGAAATTGGGAGTCGATGCTTCTCCTCCTGAGCAGATCCCCTCTTACAGTACCCCTGACTGCTCCTGAACCTCCACCATTTGCTCATCCTCCCGTCGCTTCAATGTGCAAACAAGATGGCACTAGTGAAACGCAGGCTGCGCGCCTTCCAGGCTCAGGGGCACGTCATTACAATTCGAAGTACGTATGGCGTGCTGGACCAACAAACGATCAGCAACATGAAAAAGGATTGCGAGCCAATGCGAGGTACGACTCGGACAAAACGCAACACATGCGTGGCCACGTGCTGACGCGGAAACACCCAGCCAGAACGCACTCTGACTACTTCCCCAGGCCGACCTGTCGCGAGGAACGACGCTCCCCTTGGCGACCAACTTCCTGATCCGATAAGCACCTCGCATAGCCGGGCAAATGTAGGCAGAAGCAGAAAGAAAAGGCAACATTAGCGGGGTCAAGAGGGCAGACCGAATAATCGACTTTGGGACTTGTCTGCTAGAGACCGCTCGACGGCAGCGGAACTGAAAAATAAGAAACTCAAATCCCCCACCATTCAAACATAACGGCTCCTTCCCGCTTTTCCATAGAGCGACTTCACAGGTCACGAGTCAATTCGCCGCCTCTCCAACGTGGGTGTTATGGATTATAAGGAAGATTCAGCGTTTATATTCAACCATAGCATCCGCAAGCACGAATAGTCAGACTGGGGGGGGTGGAAGATTGCCAGCTCAAACAGAAGCCTGCCCAGAGCACACCTGTCCCCAGACAACGGCTGGCCGCATGGGTCAATTACCAATCCTGCCCAAACTCTCAAACTTGGCGGCCCCGCAATTTTCGCCGCCGTCGCTGCCGCGCAGGGCCCGGGCACTCCCCACACTCTCACTGGGGGCTCGTCGTGCGCTGCGCTCCCCACCAGCAGCGAGAGCCGCACGTTGCCGCCCACGCCGCCGCGCGGAGCCCCAGGGCAGTCACTCCCCACGCGTCGCGCCCCCCCAGCGGCCCCAGCGGCTGCACGCCGATCTGTGTCTTCCGGGAAAACCGTTTTAGTAGCCACGGATTTACCAGCCCTCGCCCAGCTTCGAACATATTCCGCAATCCCCAAATCGACACCGTGCCTGCAACACTTCGTGGAGTGCCCCAAGGCTCAGCATAGCCTTGAAAGCCTGGCGTCACCGGCGTCTCCGCTGGGCGCGGCACCATGCACTCCACATGCTTCGCGCCCCCTGGCTTAGATTGCACAGCAGACAGTGCGTGTCATGGGTGGCACCACGGACTGAGCAAATACCGCATGCGCGGCACCCCGTACAGTGCGCCGCCTCGATGGCACCAAAAATGTTGAACAGCGAGGTTGCGCGTCTAAAAGTGCACCGCAAAGATGATCACCACATGGACTGCATCGCATTCCATAAGCTGCTCCCCATAATACTTGAGCCCAGCAGGTCGCGCAGAATCAAGGCTGAGGCCCACGCCCTGGTAGTTTTACCAAGACCTGCTGTCATACCAACACTCTCCGACCCGCCGCGGGTGCCGACGTGTGATGCGCGGACGACAACCCGCGCTCGCAGCGAGTCCTCGCGGCGGCGAGTCCTCGCGGCGGCGACCCGGGGCCCCTTGGGCCTCCCGCTGGCTGTGCCCTGGACCCCGGTTCCTGACCCCTCCCCGCCCGCACTCACGCCCGACCCGCGCCCTCGCGGGCGACCTGGCCCGCCGTCTTGGCCCCGTTGGGCTTCCCCCCCAGAGATTCTTCAGCTCGTAGCGAAACCCGCACGGTGCTGGTGCCGCGCCGCGCCCGATGGCCTCTCCTGCACGCCACGAAGGGAGGCCGCCGCGAGCACGGGGAGCAAGGGCCGCGAGACCGGGCACCGCTGCAGCAGAAAGGCAACGGCTTGCGTTCCGAATACTTCGCCCCGCAGCCGCTCACTGCGAACACTGAAATTGCGTGTACGCGCCCAGGGACGCGCAGCATGTTCTCTTGGACCCCAAAATTCTCGCGGGTCGTACCGATCGCATCGGGGCGCACGCTCTCCCTCACCACCATTCCGACTCCACCACTGCGTGCTAACTTTTGTTGACTCTGTCGTCCGGACGCAAGACTGCGCATTGTCCCAACCTGCCAGAGCGCAAACCGAATCGCGCGGCCGCTGGTTGGCGCCCCGTGCTTGCGTCTTGCAGCCGCAGCAGTCGCATGAGGACGTCGCCGCACTGCCTGTGCGCGACGCAAAGAAGACTCCTTGGTAGATGACTACCGCAGTGCTCGCCGCTATCGTTATTGCACAGAGAGGCGACGTTGGCCGGGTGTCGACGCGCTGGGATCTCTTCAACAATCCAGCACGCGTTGAAAAGTCGCGCAGCCCACTCAGCGCTATCATCCTCGCCGCCCACTGTTTGGAGCAGGTCGGCCATCGGGCCTGCGAACGTTGTTCTGGATGCCCTCAAAATGACTCCAGCTTCGGCCGTCGTGGATGGGGTCAAAATAAACGAGTAACTCGTCCCCAAGTGCTTCCATCATAACATTGCGTGTGCAACCTCAGGGTGACTACAGTGGGCCAGAAAAGCGTGCCCAGGGAACGGAGTGTTCCCCAGACAAACTGCGAGTGCAGCACGACTTAGGAATTGGTAAGCCATATGCAGATTGTATCTTCCAGGCGCCACGGAGCAAGAATCAACAGAAAAAACAGGAGAGCCTGAAAGTTACACGAGACCGGCTTTCCCTGAGTGGCCCTGGAGAGCAGGCGGGGAGGGAAGGGGAGGAGGTCGACGAGGAAAGGAGAAAGAGGAGGGAGAAACAAATCACTGGCCTGTAACAACGCGCCGGCCACCATGCAATTGGCGAGCTGGGAACCCAACAGGAAAAGGGAAAACATGCGGAGGAGTAGAGATTGATACATCCCATGTGGCCAACATTACCAACAACATAAACCCACCATGAGAAGGAGGAGACAAGGAGAATAGGATGGTGAGGGGAAAAGAACTCGACCCCAAGTACGAGGTCTTTGAGGTAGCAGCGGAGTTGCTGTGGTACGGCTGGTTTCTGCGACATGTTCTGAAGCTGATTTTGCCAAATCTATCTGCTCAGACGGAGAGGTGCCAATTCTATGGCCATCCGGCAAATACTGAGATGACTGCGGAGTAGCCCCGCGCGACGTGAACTGCAGAATGCACATCAAGATTGCTTCCAGGCCCCAAGGGCCCCAGGCTTCTCCATCAAGCCCAAGAGAGGTCGCGGGATTGGCCGCAAGCCACCAGATCGCTATGTTTTAGATGATCGAGCTGGGGACCTTCCTGAAACCACTCGCTCCACTCATACGTCGATGCTGCGTCGCACGTCCGTCGACTCGAGTCGAACTTGAGTCGAATCTGGGTCGAACTTGGGACTTGGATCAACCTTGAGTCGAGCAACAAGTACAACGAAATCGAACAATCATCGAATTAGAGCCGAACTAGAGTCGAACAGATCCGCTAGGTGAGGCCCAGGAGGGTCCCCAGAAAGAACATCTAGCGACGTGCGACGTGAGCCAAACAACGCACCTGATCCCGGCAACCTAAAGGAGGCTTGGCGGCAACAGCGGCGGAAGAGCTCCTTCGCGTCCGAATGCGGGAACACGATCAGCTCCTGCGCGGAAGGCCCACGCACGGTGCTTGGCGGCGCGCAAAGGGGGGTAGGGGGAGGGGGGAAAGCTTCTGAGAAGGAGGCTGCTTCTCAGGAGGCTCCCGCCTTACCTCCATAGAGAAGGCCCGCGCCTTCCAAGAAGCCTTCCCTCTCTCTCTGCCCTCATCTGCGTGTGGCCGAGGTACCCCTTCCCCCCCGCCCCTCTGCCCCCCCCCCCGGATGAGGGTAGGAAAAGGGGGCGCACGAGCAGAGGAGAAGGAGGGGGGAGGATCGGCAGCAGGATGAAAACAACGAGCTGGATTGGATTGTCATGGATTGACTGGAAAATTACACACGTCTCTATTGGGAGGTTCTTCTCTCACCTTGCATCCTTTCTGTTCCACGCGGGTGGAGGAGGAGGAGGAGGAGGAGGAGGAGGAGGAGGAGGAGGAGGAGGAGTGCGCACACCCTCAGGGGAGGTCGGTGACCGGGGTGAGACGGCTAGGCCTTGCGCATTCGCCTCCGTCTGAGCAGGCCTCGCGCGGTGTTCCACGCCGTGGCCGCTGCGGAGCGGGTAGACCAAGCTCCCCTCTCGATCGCTCGGAGGTTGGACTTGCCCGTCGTCCCAGGGGGCTTGCATTTCAGAGCTAGACCTCGTAGCACGCCACCTTCCTTGGCGGCCACAGATCCGCAAAACGTGCGATAGAGAATCGGAATGACGGGATGGGCCTCGACATGTTGGGATTCGCGAGGCCTCAAGGTGCCCACCTGGAGGCTCTGGTGGGCCGCAGGGATGTGAGCCTGAGACGGGCTCACGCCAAGACACGGGGAGGCAAGCCAGGCCCTCAACTCCTGACGGCCTCCAGTTCCTGACTGGCACTGTGCAGCAGAGGCGCCATGATCCACGGGTCCCAACCCCCATCTTCAGGATATGCTCCGAAGCCATCATAGCCTTCTGGAAACGGGTGAGACGGGGCTGGGGTGGCGGAGTCTGCGGCTTATCGGTCCTCTGGCGAACGTCAACCTCCGCGCACGACTCAATCACCACAGCCAATCGATGGCGGACGAGTGCCGCCAGCTCTTCCACCTCGGTTACCTATCCTGTCAGCGTCGGCAGGCGGGAGTTGGCACCTGGCGGCCGCCTGCTTTGCAAGCTCGTCCGCTGTTTCATTACCGTATCCCCACAGCTCAGGGATCTGTAATTCCTCGCGCAGCCGCGCTCGAGGCCGCCATCCACAGGCACCGGAAGGAGAACCAGTACAAGTATATCGTCATCCAGGTCCCCGCCGAGACCAGCATCGACCACGATCACAGCCACAGCTACAACTACAACCACGACCAGCACCACTACGACGACCACGACTACGGCTTCCTAACCTTCATCCCAGCCGCCACGTGCACGACAAGGCCACGAAGCCACAGAAGGACACGCAGGCTAAGGACGACCCCGAGGGCAACCACGCCCGCTACTGCGAGGAGGCTGCCGCTAGGCAGGAAGGCCGAGGATTCATCCACATCAGGACCTCGGAGCCCAACATTGTCTGCCATTCGCGCCACCTTCAGTCTCCTTGGCGAATTCCAGGCGATCCGATCATCAAAGATACATGAGTCGTGAAATGCAGGCGCGACGAAGACGCCAGGCAGGCGACGGGTCGCATCAGCGGCCTGCCATGCGCGGCCAGTCCGTTCACCGGTGCCCTCCCTGCACGAGACCGATGGAAGCACGCCTTCGGCCACCCCGGCGACGGGCGCCGCCACCGCTCCACGGGCCACGGGCGCCCTGAAGCGCGACCTCCCCAGCGTCGTCGCCCACCCGAGGGTGAGCGCGCCGCCCTCCCACAGGGGGAGGGGACCGGCGGACCCCGAGGGGGGTGAGCTGGGCCCGCCGCGGACCGCGGCTGCAGCGCCCCCCCGGGGGGTCAGCAGGAAGCTGGTGGTGAGCAGGGTCGTGTGCGCGCAAACATAGATTGGCGATCCATGGATTTGGCGCGCGGTCGCCAAATCCATGGATCGGGGGAGGTGCCCTCCCAAAATGCAGCCGGTGCCGCCTCGTTCGGCGGCGGAGATCTGCGATTTCAATGGAGACGGGACCCGTCGCTAATCCACGCCCCCTTGATCCATGCTTGCGATCGCCTGGTATAGGGTCCGAAGAGGAGAAGCCGACACCCACGGCCGCAACGCGTCCCTCTGCAGCTTTCTTCTCCTGCCCTCCTCCTTCGTGCTTCGGCTCGGGTCCCTCTCGCTCTCCCCCCCTGGCAGCCCCTCGCCTTCCTGTCTTCGTCGGCCCCCGTTCCGCCAGCGCCACACCCTCGACCTGCATGGTCGCCTGTCTGTTTGCATTCTTCCCCCCCCAAGGCCGATCGGCCTTTGGGGGGGGGTAGGCGACGAACGACGTTCTCTCCAGCCATCCGGAATCGGGAATCAGGGATCAGGAATAGGAGGAAAGCTACGTACGCCCTCGGATCCCCTGACGTGACGCGCTCCCGCGGGAAGAGGGGATGAGCACCACAGCCCAAGACACTTGCGCAATAAGCAAGAGAGCTCGCTGGCGTGATATGTTCGGGATGAGAAGCACACTGGAAAGGTGGATCAATCCGCCGATCCTGTCGGCATGTGTGAGAGGCTTTCCCGTTCAAGTCGTCGTCGCCGTCGTCTTCGCCTCTCCCCCCTTGACGCTTTTCCGTTTGAGCCGTCGTCGTCGCCGAAGGCGTCGTCGTTCCCCCACCCCTCCCCTCCCTGGGCCTGGGCCCTCGTACTCAAGTGTTCCAGCCAAAAGAAACTCGAGCAACTTCGAAATCGAGTCGAAGGGAAGCTCCTTCCCTTGGATCCCTCCCCCGCCGGGTGGGGGGTCCCGGGGGAGGTCCGAAGGGTTGAGGCACCCCTCCCAGGAAGGAGCACCCCTTTCTGGGAGAAGCTTTCCACTTCAATTTCAGAAGTCTCGAGCTCACTTGTACCGTGGTTTGCCCTTAGACGGCCCAAGGTACCTTCAAGACGGCCTGAGAAACCTCCAA